TGGTGTAAAAGAGCCCAGAGCTTTGTGGAGATGCTGACAGCTCAACCCCACAACCAGACACAACACAAAAGTAAACTACACAGAGCTGCACTCTCATGGGGTAAAATATCATTCATGACATGTGCTTTGTGCATGTTAACGGGTAAGGCTCCCATAGACTCCTTTGACCAGCAGCTGCACCACTTAAGTTCCTCTCTCACAGACAGCAGTTTAAAACAACTAACTTACTAAATGAATTAATACAGAATAGAGCAGAATTTTTGCCTCACAGGAGTGAGAGGCTGTTTGTAAGCACACTTTCACTTCACTCTGAATTAAACCGATACCTCATTTTAAAGTTGTATTAATCTAAGAGCGTTCTTTGGTTCAGACTGCCTCTATAGATTAGATTTTCTCAGCCACCTTGAGTTTTATTGTTGTTCATTAGGCGTTTGCCAGAGTGTGAAATATAATCCTTTCCAAACTGAGCACAAGGCTGAGTAAATAAACCTTGATCAAATAACCTCAACCCTTCCTGAGTCTGCATACCCTCAGTCTGAAAAAAAAATCTCATCTATTCGTTTAAACTTCCAATCCAACCATACTTCAACTGAAATGCTTCACATTACAGTTTAAAACTCATAGGGCCTGATCTACTGAAGGTTTGCGTATGTGCAAACTTGATAGCGCGCGCAAACCTGATCTACTGTGCACTGAGGATTGCGTCTGTCAAATGAGCAAAACAGCGCGATGCATATAGTTTCCAAGCACTTTGGACGCAGTAAATGACACGGCTTTTATGCAGTTGCTGGCTTCCCCCAAACCATTGGCACAATAGACTGCACTCATGTGCAGCTTGTTCCCCCCCTCAGATAGGAAACATGTCTATCGGAATTGGAAACACACACATTCTTTGAATGTAGAAGTTGTGTGTAACTCAAAAGGGGTCATTACAAACATTGTCATGAAAAACCCAGGGCCAGTGGCCTTTTTTCAAAGCTGCGAGATGGTGAATATGGAGATGGCTGGCTTTTGTGTAAGTTAATTATATTATTTATTCTTTGTAAAAATCATTGCTTACGTCGATGAGGAAAATGTGATAGTTTAACTTTAAGGTGATAGTGCATACCTGTGCGCAACCTAACCACTTGGGCAGAACATCTCTATAATGTGGCTCGCATCAGGACCAGAAACATTGTGGAATGCACCTTTGGTGTGCTAAAGAGTCGGTTCCGTTGTCTGGATCACAGTGGAGGAGCTCTTCTGTATAATCCAGAAAAGGTGGCGCAGATCATAGTCGTCTGCTGCATGTTGCACAACATCGCTAAACGTCACCGGTTGGAGCATGATGCCATGGATGTGGAGGAAAATGACGACTGGTCACATGCGCAACAGATAAATTATTTTTTGTTTGCAGCCACTCTACTCACCTAAACTCTCCATGGTGTCAGCCGATAGAACACCCAGAATCACAATTTAAATAGGGTAGTCCCTATTTGCACCTGATATCAATTGCGCACGCAATGATAGTAGATCACCCGCAGCAACACGCCCACTAATAGCACATACAATTTTTTAGTTTGCACATGCAATGTAGTGCTCACTATTTGCGACCTTAGTAGATCAGGCCCATAATGTAGATCATCTCAGGACACTGGAGCGCCACATCCAGGGAGGCGATTCAGGCCAACACTGAGAGCACAGCAAATCAGCTGCTAATTATAATATGCACAATACTCACATATGGATGGCATCTGAGGAGCAGGGCAGGTGAAGAATGGAAAGGTAACTATGAGGATAAATATGCTCAGGAAACATGAACTAAAGATTTCACACAGAAAGCAAAGAAACACAGCTGTGACAAGAAAACCCTGTGTGTAAAACTCACACATTTCTCGCAGGAAAGATTCCTTATCTGGTCCCAGGACACAGGATAATATAAATCTTTCCAGACTGCTTTGTACTTTCAGATTACCCAATTCACCCAACTGGAAATTTAAAAATTACTGTCACAAAGTGTGTGAACACATGGGGCTCAATTTAAGTGCCAGTCAGCGGCGCATGGTGTTTCTAGTCTTGTTTTACCTTATCAGTTTTCCCTCCTCTGTGATTTTATGCTGCATTCCAGTTGTACTCCGAGTCGGAAATTTATCTGGAACGCCCCCTGAAGTCTGATTTCCAACTCAGAAATTCGGACAATCCCCACCAACCCTGACTTGATGACAACGTCATAATCCAAGATGGCAGCGTAGTGCATTAACAGTAAAGAGTAACAGTGAAAGCTCCTGTAATCTTTTAAATATTAGCACTTATGTTTTATTTTTGTGTAATTAAATAAGTGATATATGTTTTACTGCCCAACACCTGTAAACATGGAGCTTTGGTGTTTGTAAGAGTTAAACACTGATGTTGTGCGTTCTTTACAACTGGTATAGCTAACCACAACTAACAACAGCTAACAACAGCCAAAAACAGCTGACAACTGCTAACAACAACTGACAACATCCAACAACAGCTGACAATTGTAAACAACAGCTAACAATGGCTAACAATAGGTGTCCATCTTGGTGTTCTGACTTGTTTACAGGAAGACTCGGTGTAGTGTCATCCCCAGCTCCAACATCCAACTTCTGAGGTAACTGGAATGCAGCATTAATCTGCCTCAGCCCGGCACACAGCCAGTTTGGTGATTTAGTCAACTTATTACTTCATGGAAATGCAATCAGACCGAGACCAAGATGCTAAGGCAAAAGAACTACATCGTCTGCAGTGCAAAATGATTAATTTGATGATTATTACATCAAGGAAATGATAAAGTAATGATCATAAATGTTCCTACTGTTGAAATTAACCAAACTTCCCAGAGTCTGTTGATGGAGACTGGAACAGAGGATTCAATGAGGCAAAAAAGGTGTCTTCAACCAACGTTTTATTTCGGCACAGCAAATAATACAAGATATCTTGGAGAGCACAACATCAACCCAATGGTATCTCTGAGGTGGTCTGAATACTATTTTTCAGTAGTTAACATTTATACATCTGAGGCGTCTCATCATCTTTATGGGCGGAGAGTTTACATAACCAGCAGTCCCCAGTGTTTCTCTACGGACAAACAAGCACGTATTCTTCTGTTTTTTTTTTACCGGACCAAAACCGTGGTTTCGGGGAAGTTGACCTTGGATGCACACAGTGCCTGTCTCCTTTTTATCTTATTTGCGTCATGTATTCCCGGCTTTCACTTTTTCACTGAGTTCCCACTGAGCAGACTGCTGGGCATGCAAACCCTCCCTTTACACCTCCACATCTTCTCAGGACAGAGTGATCTTCCTCCCTCACCCTGTTGTTCACATTTCTGAGCTACACCTGCACATCTGTTATGAAAGGCAAATCATTATCTAGAGCATATGTCAAGGTCATAGACACGTGATGATTATAAGGAACACTTCTAATGAATAACTGTTAAGGTATCATAGCAGAATAGTTTAAAACCATACTTACCAACACTTGGCACTTCTAGGCATAAGCTAAAATCTTTCTTTACTGAGAGTCTCTTTTCTATACATTGTGACACAGTGATCAATTGCCCCCATGTTAGCTTTAAACTTTCTGATCTGAGTCATCAGTACATGTCCGCAATGAGCACACAAAATAATGTAAACACTATAAGAAAACAGTTAATTACCTGAAACAATGGCTAAATGATTGGCATGATATACTATATTATCACCTGAAACAATGACTAAATGATTGGTATGATAAATGAGTTCCCACACTACCAAAATACTACAGTGTCCTTGGGCACGCCTAATCGGCGCAACAGACCTGACTTTTGTCATGCCACGCTGCCGGCAAGGCATGTTAATAGAGCCTATGGAATTCAAGTAAAGGTCTGAGGAGCAGGACACTGACCTTCTTTTTCTAAGTTCTGAACCTCTGAACGCCACACAGTGGGCCCAAAGTTATCCTCTAAGCTAGAGTTTTGCAATGAGACCAAAAGACCTTCCAAAGGGTACACAAGGCACTGGTTCTGCATTCAGGCCTGTGTGTTATGACTCCTGGCCCATCTTTCATCTTACTTACTTCATGGAAATGCAATCAGAGTTCTTGTGTTCTTGTTAACCTTTATCAAATTATTTATTCCTTTAAGTTCTTATCTGTTAGGGCCTGATCTACTAAGATCCCAAATTAGGGGTGTAGCAATAGCTTCAGAGGCGCTAAATTCCATGTGCAAACTAAAAGATTTGCATGTGCTGATGCAATTTCCTATTTGTTTCCTTTAATAAAATCGCAGCAAATAAAACAGGTGGGGACTGGCAGAAGAGATACCTGTCTCTCCAATTGAACAACAGATTCAGGTAACATTCTGTGATGAGCAGATTGTTTGAATCAAGGGATATGACTCCCTTGACCTAAACATTGCAAACAAAGGTTAGCTCATAAAAGCACAGATATGCATTTCTTGTAGTGGACACATTTAATTAATTCAAAATGAATATTCGTTGTGAATTTCATAGGATATAGGCCTTATATGGAAAAAGTGATTTCATTTATTTCAAGTGTTTTTGTAGGTTGTCCTTAATGATCAGGGAAAAAAATATATATCTCCTTTTCCTTAATTGCAGAATCATCATCAGGTGTTCGACAACACCCGCTGCACTCCTGAAATCAGCTCAGACAAGAAAACACCTCAGCAGAGCCCCAAAGGCGTCCAGATTTTTTTTGATGGCATTGGTCGAGAGTTGCTGCAACAACAACAAAAAAACTAGGGCCCCGTTGGGGCACTGGCGGGCCCGAGCCGTGTCGTGCCGCCCCCAGCGCGACCGCCTACCCCTCCCGATCGCGTCACACTCAAGGTCCAAAGATGGTGTGCGCACTTGTCTGTGGTCATTTACCATTATAATGAATGGGAGGCGCAGTTTCTACCAAAACGCTCGCTGCAGACAAACTCCATGTCCTTTTTGAAAAAATTCTGGACCAGGAGTGAGGGCACAAACACAGCTAGTATATATCCAAATGGCAAGTTGCTCCTCCTTTCGGTTTTGCCGAGAGAGCGATGCGTTTGAGCCATTGAGCGATGGGCAGGAAAAACTTGACTTTTTCTCCTGCCATGGGGGGGGCGCTCTTATGGGGAGAAAAAATTCCTTCACAAATGTGTTGATGACTGAACATTGCATCATCCTAGAAAACTTGGAGGCCAGTGAGGACAAAAATAAAGTTATAAGACTTTTAAAAATGTGGATATTTGGGTCCTCTTTGGCGCCCCCTAGAACGTAAACCGTGGGGTGCAGCGTCATGATTTTTACAACTTTGAATGGCCATGGGGTGTAGATTGGCCTGAGCAAATTTGGTGTCAGTGGAACGAAAGCCTTAGGAGGAGTTAGCCACATTCCAATGTGTGCGAATCGGCAAAAAATGTGAAATAGCCCTTTAACCGTACATTTTACAGATATGCGCGCATTGACTTTTTCGTAGATCTTATTGATATACATGTGTGTGTCAATTTTTGTGTCATTTTGCCAAAGCGTACAGGCGTGACACTAAACAATGTGTATTTTCACCTTAGGGGACAAGAAAAAATGGACTTTTTTCTCCTGCCATGGGGGGGCGCTCTTTTGGCGAGTAAAAATTCCTTCACAAATGTGTTAATTGCTGGACATTGCATCATCCTAGAGAACTTGGAGGCCAGTGAGGACAAAAATAAAAAGTTATAAGACTTTTAAGACTGTGGATTTTTGGGTTATCTTTGGCGCCCCCTAGAACCTAAACCATGGGGTGCAGCATCATGATTTGTACAACTTTGAATGGCCATGGGGTGTAGATTGGCCTGAGCAAATGTGGTGCCGGTGGAACGAAAGCCTTCGGAGGAGTTAGCAAAATTCCAATGTGTGCGGATCTGCAAAAAATGCGAAATAACCCTTTAACCATACATTTGACAGATACGCCCGCACTGACTTTTTTGTAGATCTTATTGAGATACATGTGTGTGTCAATTTTTGTGTCAATATGACAAAGCGTACAGGCGTGACAGTCAATAGTGTGAATTTTCACCTTAGGGGGCGCTATGGAGCCATTTTGCATTTTATTGTTTGGGCGACTTCAGAATATCGAATTTTTCACCAGGCCCGGTCGTCCTGCCAAATTTCCTGAGTTTTCGCCAGTGGGAAGTGGGCCATTTTCCAGTTTAAAGCGGAGGAAAAATAATAACTAGGGCCCCGGTGGGGCACTTTCGGGCCCGAGCCGCGTCTCGCCGCCCCCAGCGCGACCACCTCCCCCTCCCGATCGCGTCACACTCAAGGTCCAAAGATGGTGTGCGCACTTGTCTGTGGTCATTTCCCATTATAATGAATGGGAGGCGCAGTTTCTACCAAAACACTTGCTGCAGACAAACTACATATCCTATTTGAAAAAAGTCTGGACCATGAGTGAGGGCACAAACACAGCTAGGATATATCCAAACGGCAAGTTGCTCCTCGTTACGGTGTTGCCGGGAGAGCGATGCGATTGAGCCATTGAGTGATGGGCAGGAAAAACTTGACTGTTTCTCCTGCCATGGGGGATGGGGGGGGGGGGATGTGGATTCTTTTAAGAATGTGGATATTTGGGTCATCTTTGGCGCCCCCTAGAACGTAAACCGTGGGGTGCACCGTCATGATTTTTACAACTTTTAATGGCCATGGGGTGTAGATTGGCCTGAGCAAATTTGGTGTCAGTGGGATGAAAGCCTTAGGAGGAGTTAGCCACATTCCAATGTGTGCGAATCGGCAAAAAATGCAAAATAGCCCTTTAACCGTACATTTGACAGATACGCGTGCATTGACTTTTTCGTAGATGTTATTGAGACACACGTGATTGTCAAATTTTGTGTCAATATGACAAAGCGTACAGGTGTCACACTCAACAATGTGAATTTTCACCTTACGGGACAAGAAAAAATTGACTTTTTTCTCCTGCCATGGGGGGGCGCTCTTTTGGGGAGTAAAAATTCCTTCACAAATGTGTTGATGGCTGGACATTGCATCATCCTAGAGAACTTGGAGGCCAGTGAGGACAAAAATAAAAAGTTATAAGACTTTTAAATATGTGGATTTAGGGTTATATTTGGCGCCCCCTAGAACCTAAACCGTGGGGTGCAGCATCATGATTTGAATAACTTTCAATGGCCATGGGGTGTAGATTGGCCTGAGCAAATGTGGTGCCGGTGGAACGAAAGCCTTAGGAGGAGTTAGCGAAATTCCAATGTGTGCGCATCGGCAAAAAATGCGAAATAACCCTTTAACCGTACATTTGACAGATACGCGGCATTGACTTTTTCGTAGATCTTATTGAGATACATGTGTGTGTCAATTTTTGTGTCAATATGACAAAGCGTACAGGCCTGACAGTCAATAGTGTGAATTTTCACCTTAGGGGACAAGAAAAAATGGACTTTTTTCTTCTGCCATGGGGGGGCGCTCTTTTGGGGAGTAAAAATTCCTTCACAAATGTGTTGATGGCTGGACATTGCATCATCCTAGAAAACTTGGAGGCCAGTGAGGACAAAAATAAAAAGTAATAAGACTTTTAAATATGTGGATTTTAGTGTTATCTTTGGCGCCCCCTAGAACCTAAACCTTGGGGTGCAGCGTCATGATTTTGATAACTTTTAATGGCCACGGGGTGTAGATTGGCCTGAGCAAATGTGGTGCCGGTGGAACGAAAGCCTTAGGAGGAGTTAGCCACATTCCAATGTGTGCGGATCGGCAAAAAATGCAGAATAACCCTTTAACCGTACATTTGACAGATACGCGCGCATTGACTTTTTCGTAGATCTTATTGAGTTACATGTGTGTGTCAATTTTTGTGTCATTTTGACAAAGCGTATAGGCGTGACACTCAACAATGTGTATTTTCACCTTAGGGGACAAGAAAAAATGGACTTTTTTCTTCTGCCATGGGGGGGCGCTCTTTTGGGGAGTAAAAATTCCTTCACAAATGTGTTGATGGCTGGACATTGCATCATCCTAGAAAACTTGGAGGCCAGTGAGGACAAAAATAAAAAGTAATAAGACTTTGAAATATGTGGATTTTAGGGTTATCTTTGGCGCCCCCTAGAACATAAACCGTGGGGTGCAGCGTCATGATTTGAATAACTTTTAATGGCCATGGGGTGTAGATTGGCCTGAGCAAATGTGGTGCCGGTGGAACGAATGCCTTCGGAGGAGTTAGCGAAATTCCAATGTGTGCGGATCGGCAAAAAATGCGAAATAACCCTTTAACCGTACATTTGACAGATACGCCCGCACTGACTTTTTTGTAGATCTTATTGAGATACATGTGTGTGTCAATTTTTGTGTCATTTTGACAAAGCGTACAGGCGTCAGGTGAATTTTTCACCTTAGGGGGCGCTATGGAGCCATTTTGCATTGTATTGTTTGGGCGACTTCAGAATATCAAATTTTTCACCAGGCCCGGTCGTCCTGCCAAATTTCATGAGTTTTCGCCAGTGGGAAGTGGGCCATTTTCCAGTTCAAAGGGGAGGAAAAATAATAACTAGGGCCCCGTTGGGGCACTGGCGGGCCCGAGCTGCGTCGTGCCGCCCCCAGCGTGACCGCCTCCCCCTCCCGATCGCGTCACACTCAAGGTCCAAAGATGGTGTGCGCACTTGTCTGTGGTCATTTCGCATTATAATGAATGGGAGGCGCAGTTTCTACCAAAACACTCGCTGCAGACAAACTTCATGTCCTATTTGAAAAAAGTCTGGACCATGAGTGAGGGCACAAACACAGCTGGGATATATCCAAATGGCAGGTTGCTCCTCGTTACGGTGTTGCCTGGAGAGCGATGCGATTGAGCCATTGAGCGATGGGCAGGAAAAACTTGACTTTTTCTCCTGCCATGGGGGGGAGAATGTGGATTCTTTTAAGAATGTGGATTTTTTGGTTATCTTTGGCGCCCCCTAGAACGTAAACCGTGGGGTGCAGCGTCATGATTTTTACAACTTTGAATGGCCATGGGGTGTAGATTGGCCTGAGCAAATTTGGTTTCAGTGGGACGAAAGCCTTAGGAGGAGTTAGCCACATTCCAATGTGTGCGAATCGACAAAAAATGCAAAATAGCCCTCTAACCGTACATTTGACAGATACGCACCCATTGACTTTTTCGTAGATCTTATTGAGATACACGTGATTGTCAAATTTTGTGTCAATATGACAAAGCGTACAGGTGTCACACTCAACAATGTGAATTTTCACCTTACGGGACAAGAAAAAATTGACTTTTTTCTCCTGCCATGGGGGGCGCTCTTTTGGGGAGTAAAAATTCCTTCACAAATGTGTTGATGGCTGGACATTGCATCATCCTAGAAAACTTGGAGGCCAGTGAGGACAAAAATAAAAAGTTATAAGACTTTGAAATATGTGGATTTTAGGGTTATCTTTGGCGCCCCCTAGAACCTAAACCGTGGGGTGCAGCGTCATGATTTGAATAACTTTTAATGGCCATGGGGTGTAGATTGGCCTGAGCAAATGTGGTGCCGGTGGAACGCCAGCCTTAGGAGGAGTTAGCGAAATTCCAATGTGTGCGGATCGGCCAAAAATGCGGAATAACCCTTTAACCGTACATTTGACAGATACGCGCGCATTGACTTTTTCGTAGATCTTATTGAGATACATGTGTGTGTCAAATTTTGTGTCAATATGACAAAGCGTACAGGCGTGACACTCAACAATGTGTATTTTCACCTTAGGGGACAAGAAAAAATGGACTTTTTTCTCCGGCCATGGGGGCGCTCTTTTGGGGAGTAAAAATTCCTTCACAAATGTGTTGATGGCTGGATATTGCATCATCCTAGAAAACTTGGAGGCCAGTGAGGGCAAAAATAAAAAGTTATAAGACTTTTAAATATGTGGATTTTAGGGTTACCTTTGGCGCCCCCTAGAACCTAAACCGTGGGGTGCAGCGTCATGATTTGAATAACTTTTAATGGCCATGGGGTGTAGATTGGCCTGAGCAAATGTGGTGCCGGTGGTGAGAAAGCCTTCGGAGGAGTTAGCGAAATTCCAATGTGTGCGGATCGGCAAAAAATGCGTAATAACCCTTTAACCGTACATTTGACAGATACGCCCGCACTGACTTTTTTGTAGATCTTATTGAGATACATATGTGTGTCAATTTTTGTGTCATTTTGACAAAGCGTAAAGGCGTGACAGTCAATAGTGTGAATTTTCACCTTAGGGGGCGCTATGGAGCCATTTTGCATTTTCTTGTTTGGGCGACTTCGGAATATCAAATTTTTCACCAGGCCCGGTCATCCTGCCAAATTTCATGAGTTTTCGCCAGTGGGAAGTGGGCCATTTTCCAGTTCAAAGGGGAGGAAAAAGAAGAAAGAAAGAAACAAAGAAAAACCACTTGGGGAATAATAGGGCTCTCGCAGCTGCTTAGCAGCTACGCTCGGGCCCTAATAACAAAAGAAGGAAACATGCAGGAACAAGAGGGCTCTCGCAGCTGCTTAGCAGCTACGCTCGGGCCCTAAAGAAGGAAACATGCAGGAACAAGAGGGCTCTCGCAGCTGCTTAGCAGCTACGCTCGGGCCCTAAAGAAGAATCCATCAGGAATAATAGGGCTCTCGCAGCTGCTTAGCAGCTACGCTCGGGCCCTAAATAACAAAAGAAGGAAACTACAGGAACAAGAGGGCTCTCGCAGCTGCTTAGCAGCTACGCTCGGGCCCTAACTAGGACCCCGTTGGGGCACTGGCGGGCCCGAGCTGTGTCGCGTCCCCCCCCCAACGCGCTGCCTCCCCGTCCCATTTGTGTCCTCTGGCCATCGCCCTCTCTGGTAACGCCCATCACTGCAAAGACCCTTTTCCTTCATCGGCGTTTGCTGTTCTTCCTGCCAGTGCGTGTTGCTTTCACTTACACTTGCCACAGCCAGCCTCGTGAGTGCCTAGCCTATTGGATATCACTGTCACCTACACAGGACAGTCATTACCTTTCTATTAATACTTTGTTTTTTAATTTCAAATTAATTTCCATATTGTATAAACAACTGGAAAAAACTTGAGCCCCTGCCCCTGTATAATCATGTGCACGTCTCTGTTCTAGCTCTAAGGTGAATCTTCACTGCTCATGTTCTCCTCAGAAGCAGTCACCTCACTCCCCTCAGGTTACTGTACACATGCACCAACTGCCTGCTTCAGGTTTGGATGGAGCTTCATGGTTGTCTTTTGGAGTAATGACCAGTCAAGTTGTGTTTGAAATTTGATTTTTTTCAGGGGCAAAAGGAGCCTCTGCATTCTTGTCAAATATGTAAATAGCATGTTTTTGCAGGTGCTAAAAACCAGACTCTGAGTGTGTGTGTGTGCGTGTGTGTGTGTGTCTGTGTGTGTGTGTGTGTGTGTGTGTGCGTTCAAGTCACATGACATATTTAACCGGATGTAGCTGCAAGACGGAGCCTCGTTGACTCTCCGTTTCAACTTATCTCAAAAGTGAGGACCTCAACCTATATACCAGTTTTTAAATTGTGTTGATAGGCCAAATAAAACCAGAGTTATGATAAATTATGTCCGCGATACTTGTTTTCTGCTTATTTTGATCACGTTCGGCGCTCGATCGCGCTGTATGAGACAGGAAAACATAGCATGCAGACATTCGCGACAGGTCTTACAGGCGGAAAAGGCTTGCCAAAGGAAAAAAAAAACACACCACAACATCTCTCCTATTGGTGGAAAACTTCACCACAACAACCAATCCAAAATTATATGGTGACTGATTGACAAGGGGCGGGCGCTTACGTTCTTCCTGCAATATGAGAAGGGAGGGAGGGACTCTCAGCAGGGATGCAGTCTGGGACACGTAGTTGCAAACCTAGCGACTTTGTTGTTAGATTCAATGACTTTTCAGACCCCCTAACGACTTTTTTTTAGAAAGAAAGTGACTTTTATCGACTTCTTCTGGAGTTTAGAGACTCTGACATGAAGCAGGCTTTCCTTACTGAGGAGTTAGCAACGCTGCTAAGGGTGCAGAGCCACACATGCGCTCCGAGCTCTGCATGGGAGACTGAAGCTGACAGAGCTGCAGCAGTTAGCAGGTTTCACCCTCAGAGACCACCAGGGGTTCATGTTGAGGCATTTTCAGTTTTTTTTTTTTTTTTTGCCATAGACACTGTCAGCACAATCTGCAGTTACACTAACAAAAATGCTGCAAAAAACAAAGTCCATGTGTAATTTTTCCATAATTCTAACAGAGGAGGATCTACACAAGTTTTTTACATCATGTTTTACATCATGCATCATTTACATCATGTTTTTTTGTAGTGGCATAAATAAAAAGTGACATTTGTGAGACTATACAGTGTTTTGTAAATAATTTTACAAAGAACACCTGGGCCATTGCCTGCATTTTGATGTAAATAGAGGTAAATTACTATGTTCTTTGTTAAAAATTTGCATATGTTTTGAAGTTTACAATTTTTATTTGAAGTTTAAGTTTTAAAAACAGTTCATCACACATATTTGTGGTTTTCACAGTAAAAACGTTACTTTTTTCCACTCGGATTTTATGTTTTGTGTGTGAATTTGGGTCCAATGTGTAAATATAGTATGTCAAAATGATAAAATAACTGTAAATTGACACAGGTGAGGTTGTGCTGAAAAAAATGATACCAGGCAAGGCAAGGTAAAAATTTTGTAAGAGGAAATATAAAGGTAAAATCTAAAGTAGTCAAAAACGGCCAATAGTGACTCACAGACTCCACAGACAAGTCCCTTTGGCGCCACTCAGTGGGCAAAACTACTTTGTCTACTGTAATGTATATTTGGGTCATCTTTGGCGCCCCCTAAAACGTAAACCGTGGGGTGCAGCGTCATGATTTTTACAACTTTGAATGGCCATGGAGTGTAGATTGGCCTGAGCAAATTTGGTGTCATTGGGACGAAAGCCTTAGGAGGAGTTAGCGAAATTCCAATGTGTGCGAATCGGCAAAAAATGCAAAATAGCCCTTTTACCGTACATTATACAGATACGCGCTCTTTGACTTTTTCATAGATCTAATTGAGATACACATGATTGTCAATTTTTGTGTCATTTTGCCAAAGCGTACAGGCGTGACAGTCAACAATGTGTATTTTCACCTTAGGGGACAAGAAAAAATGGACTTTTTTCTCCTGCCATGGGGGGGCGCTCTTTTAGGGAGTAAAAATTCCTTCACAAATGTGTTGATGGCTGGACATTGCATCATCCTAGAAAACTTGGAGGCCAGTGAGGACAAAAATAAAAAGTTATAAGACTTTTAAAAATGTGGATTTTTGGGTTATCTTTGGCGCCCCCTAGAACGTAAACCGTGGGGTGCAGCGTCATGATTTGAATAACTTTTAATGGCCATGGGGTGTAATTTGGCCTGAGCAAATGTGGTGCCGGTGGAACGAAAGCCTTCGGAGGAGTTAGCGAAATTCCAATGTGTGCGGATCGGCAAAAAATGCGGAATAACCCTTTAACCGTACATTTGACAGATACGCGCACATTGACTTTTTCGTAGATCTTATTGAGATACACGTGATAGTCAAATTTTGTGTCAATATGACAAAGCGTACAGGTGTCACACTCAACAATGTGAATTTTCACCTTACGGGACAAGAAAAAATTGACTTTTTTCTCCTGCCATGGGGGGGCGCTCTTTTGGGGAGTAAAAATTCCTTCACAAATGTGTTGATGGCTGGACATTGCATCATCCTAGAAAACTTGGAGGCCAGTGAGGGCAAAAATAAAAAGTTATAAGACTTTGAAATATGTGGATTTTAGGGTTATCTTTGGCGCCCCCTAGAACCTAAACCGTGGGGTGCAGCATAATGATTTGAATAACTTTTAATGGCCATGGGGTGTAGATTGGCCTGAGCAAATGTGGTGCCGGTGGAACAAAAGCCTTCGGAGGAGTTAGCGAAATTCCAATGTGTGCGGATCGGCAAAAAATGCGCAATAACCCTTTAACCGTACATTTGACAGATACGCCCGCACTGACTTTTTTGTAGATCTTATTGAGATACATGTGTGTGTCAATTTTTGTGTCATTTTGACAAAGCGTACAGGCGTCAGGTGAATTTTTCACCTTAGGGGGCGCTATGGAGCCATTTTGCATTGTATTGTTTGGGCGACTTCAGAATATCAAATTTTTGACCAGGCCCGGTCGTCCTGCCAAATTTCATGAGTTTTCGCCAGTGGGAAGTGGGCCATTTTCCAGTTCAAAGGGGAGGAAAAAGAAACTAGGGCCCCGTTGGGGCACTGGCGGGCCCGAGCCGTGTCGCGCCGCCCCCAGTGCGACTGCCTACCCCTCCCGATTGCGTCACACTCAAGGTCCAAAGATGGTGTGCGCACTTGTCTGTGGTCATTTACCATTATAATGAATGGGAGGCGCAGTTTCTACCAAAACGCTCGCTGCAGACAAACTCCATGTCCTTTTTGAAAAAAGTCTGGACCATGAGTGAGGGCACAAACACAGCTAGTATATATCCAAATGGCAAGTTGCTCCTCCTTTCGGTTTTGCCGAGAGAGCGATGCGTTTGAGCCATTGAGCGATGGGCAGGAAAAACTTGACTTTTTCTCCTGCCATGGGGGGGCGCTCTTTTGGGGAGTAAAAATTCCTTCACAAATGTGTTGATGGCTGGACATTGCATCATCCTAGAAAACTTGGAGGCCAGTGAGCACAAAAATAAAAAGTTATAAGACTTTTAAAAATGTGGATATTTGGGTCCTCTTTGGCGCCCCCTAGAACGTAGACCGTGGGGTGCAGCGTCATGATTTTTACAACTTTGAATGGCCATGGGGTGTAGATTGGCCTGAGCAAATTTGGTGTCAGTGGGACGAAAGCCTTAGGAGGACTAAGCCACATTCCAATGTGTGCGAATCTGCAAAAAATGCGAAAAAGCCCTTTAACCGTACATTTTACAGATACGCGCGCATTGACTTTTTCGTAGATCTTATTGAGATGCACGTGATTGTCAAATTTTGTGTCAATATGACAAAGCATACAGGCGTGACATTCAACAATGTGTATTTTCGCCTTGGGGGACAAGAAAAAATGGACTTTTTTCTCCTGCCATGGGGGGGCGCTCTTTTGGGGAGTAAAAATTCCTTCACAAATGTGTTGATGGCTGGACATTGCATCATCCTAGAGAACTTGGAGGCCAGTGAGGACAAAAATAAAAAGTTATAAGACTTTTAAATATTTGGATTTTAGGGTTATCTTTGGCGCCCCCTAGAACCTAAACCGTGGGGTGCAGCGTCATGATTTGTACAACTTTTAATGGCCATGGGGTGTAGATTGGCCTGAGCAAATTTGGTGCCGGTGGAACGAAAGCCTTCGGAGGAGTTAGCGAAATTCCAATGTGTGCGGATCGGCAAAAAATGCGAAATAGCCCTTTAACCGTACATTTGACAGATACGCCCGCACTGACTTTTTTGTAGATCTTATTGAGATACACATGTGTGTCAAATTTTGTGTCATTTTGACAAAGCGTACAGGCGTCAAGTGAGTTTTCACCATAGGGGGCGCTATGGAGCCATTTTTCATTTTTTTGTTTGGGCGACTTCAGAATATCAAATTTTTCACCAGGCCCGGTCGTCCTGCCAAATTTCCTGAGTTTTCGCCAGTGGGAAGTGGGCCATTTTCCAGTTTAAAGCGGAGGAAAAATAACGAAAGAAGAATCCATCAGGAACAAGAGGGCTCTCGCAGCTGCTTAGCAGCTACGCTCGGGCCCTAAAAAGAAACAAAGAAAAACCACTTGGGGAATAATAGGGCTCTCGCAGCTGCTTAGCAGCTACGCTCGGGCCCTAACTAGGGCCCCGTTGGGGCACTGGCGGGCCCGAGCCGTGTCGCGCTGCCCCCCCCAACGTGCTGCCTCCCCGTCCCATTCGCGTCCTCTGGCCATCGTCCTCTCTGGTAACGCCCATCACTGCAAAGACCCTTTCCTTCATCGGCGTTTGCTGTTCTTCCTGCCAGTGCGTGTTGCTTTCACTTACACTTGCCACAGCCAGCCTCGTGAGTGCCTAGCCTATTGGATATCACTGTCATCTACACAGGACAGTCATAACCTTTCTATTAATACTTTGTTTTTTAATTTCACATTAATTTCCATATTGTATAAATGACTGGAAAAAACTTGAGCCCCTGCCCCTGTATAATCATGTGCACGTCCCTGTTCTAGCTCCAAGGTGAATCTTCACTGCTCATGTTCTCCTCAGAAATAGTCACCTCACTCCCCTCAGGTTACTGTACACATGCACCAACTATCTGCTTCAGGTTTGGATGGAGCTTCATGGTTGTCTTTTGGAGAAATGAACAGTCAAGTTGTGTTTGAAATTTGATTTTTTTCAGGGGCAAAAGGAAGCCTCTGCATTCTTGTCAAATATGTAAACAGCATGTTTTTGCAGGTGCTAAAAAACAGACTCTGAGTGTGTGTGTGTGTGTGTGTGTGTGTGTGTGTGTGTGTGTGTGTGTGTGTGTGTGTGTGTGTGTGTGTGTTGGCGTGTGTGTATATGTGTGTGTATCCTGCAGTACTCTGTACTCCTGCAGTGGCCAAAAAGACTTTTAAGAATGTGGATTTTTGGGTCATCTTTGGCGCCCCCTAGAACTGCAGTACTCTGTACTCCTGCAGTGGCCAAAATGACTTTTAAGAATGTGGATTTTTGGGTCATCTTTGGCGCCCCCTAGAAATTAAACCGTGGGGTGCAGCGTCATGATTTTTACAACTTTGAATGGCCATGGGGTGTAGATTGCCCAGAGCAAATTTGGTATCAGTGGGACGAAAGCCTTAGGAGGAGATAGCCACATTCCAATGTGTGCGAATCGGCAAAAAATGCGAAATAGCCCTTTAACCGTACATTATACAGATACGCGCTCTTTGACTTTTTTGTAGATCTAATTGAGATACACATGATTGTCAATTTTTGTGTCAATATGACAAAGAGTTCAGGCGTGACACTCAACAATGTGTATTTTCATGTAAGGGGACAAGAAAAAATTGACTTTTTTCTCCTGCCATGGGGGGGCGCTCTTTTGGGGAGTAAAAATTCCTTCACAAATGTGTTGATGGCTGGACATTGCATCATCCTAGAAAACTTGGAGGCCAGTGAGGACAAAAATAAAAAGTTATAAGACTTTTAAGAATGTGGATTTTTGGGTTATCTTTGGCGCCCCCTAGAACCTAAACCGTGGGGTGCAGCGTCATGATTTGTACAACTTTTAATGGCCATGGGGTGTAGACTGGCCTGAGCAAATGTGGTGCCGGTGGAACGAAAGCCTTCGGAGGAGTTAGCGAAATTCCAATGTGTGCGGATCGGCAAAAAATGCGAAATAACCCTTTAACCGTACATTTGACAGATACGCCCGCACTGACTTTTTTGTAGATCTTATTGAGATACATATGTGTGTCAATTTTTGTGTCAATATGACAAAACGTACAGACGTGACAGTCAATAGTGTGAATTTCCACCTTAGGGGGCGCTATGGAGCCATTTTGCATTTTTTTTGTTTGGACGACTTCAGAATATCAAATTTTTCACCAGGCCCGGTCGTCCTGCCAAATTTCATGAGTTTTCGCCAGTGGGAAGTGGGCCATTTTCCAGTTTAAAGCAGAGGAAAAATAATAATAACTAGGGCCCCGGTGGGGCACTGGCGGGCCCGAGCCGTGTCGCGCCGCCCCCAGTGCGACCGCCTACCCCTCCCGATCGCGTCACACTCAAGGTCCAAAGATGGTGTGCGCACTTGTCTGTGGTCATTTACCATTATAATGAATGGGAGGCACAGTTTCTACCAAAACGCTCGCTGCAGACAAACTCCATGTCCTTTTTGAAAAAAGTCTGGACCATGAGTGAGGGCACAAACACAGCTAGTATATATCCAAATGGCAAGTTGCTCCTCCTTTCGGTTTTGCCGAGAGAGCGATGCGTTTGAGCCATTGAGCGATGGGCAGGAAAAACTTGACTTTTTCTCCTGCCATGGGGGGGCGCTCTTTTGGGGAGTAAAAATTCCTTCACAAATGTGTTGATGGCTGGACATTGCATCATCCTAGAAAACTTGGAGGCCAGTGAGCACAAAAATAAAAAGTTATAAGACTTTTAAAAATGTGGATGTTTGGGTCCTCTTTGGCGCCCCCTAGAACGTAGACCGTGGGGTGCAGCGTCATGATTTTTACAACTTTGAATGGCCATGGGGTGTAGATTGGCCTGAGCAAATTTGGTGTCAGTGGGACGAAAGCCTTAGGAGGACTAAGCCACATTCCAATGTGTGCGAATCGGCAAAAAATGCAAAATAGCCCTTTAACCGTACATTTGACAGATACGCGCGCATTGACTTTTTCGTAGATCTTATTGAGATGCATGTGATTGTCAAATTTTGTGTCAATATGACAAAGCGTACAGGCGTGACATTCAACAATGTGTATTTTCGCCTTGGGGGACAAGAAAAAATGGACTTTTTTCTCCTGCCATGGGGGGGCGCTCTTTTGGGGAGTAAAAATTCCTTCACAAATGTGTTGATGGCTGGACATTGCATCATCCTAGAGAACTTGGAGGCCAGTGAGGACAAAAATAAAAAGTTATAAGACTTTTAAGACTGTGGATTTTTGGGTTATCTTTGGCGCCCCCTAGAACCTAAACCGTGGGGTGCAGCGTCATAATTTGTACAACTTTGAATGGCCATGGGTTCTAGATTGGCCTGAGCAACTATGGTGTCAGTGGGACGAAAGCCTTCGGAGGAGTTAGCGAAATTCCAATGTGTGCGAATCGGCAAAAAATGCAAAATAGCCCTTTTACCGTACATTATACAGATACGCGCTCTTTGACTTTTTCGTAGATCTAATTGAGATACACATGATTGTCAATTTTTGTGTCAATATGACAAAGAGTTCAGGCGTGACACTCAACAATGTGTATTTTCACCTTAGGGGACAAGAAAAAATTGACTTTTTTCTCCTGCCATGGGGGGGCGCTCTTTTGGGGAGTAAAAATTCCTTCACAAATGTGTTGATGGCTGGACATTGCATCATCCTAGAAAACTTGGAGGCCAGTGAGGACAAAAATAAAAAGTTATAAGACTTTTAAATATTTGGATTTTAGGGTTATCTTTGGCGCCCCCTAGAACCTAAACCGTGGGGTGCAGCGTCATGATTTTTACAACTTTTAATGGCCATGGGGTGTAGATTGGCCTGAGCAAATTTGGTGCCGGTGGAACGAAAGCCTTCGGAGGAGTTAGCGAAATTCCAATGTGTGCGGATCGGCAAAAAATGCGAAATAAACCTTTAACCGTACATTATACAGATACGCGCTCTTTGACTTTTTCGTAGATCTTATTGAGATACACGTGTGTGTCAATTTTTGTGTCAATATGACAAAGCGTTTAGGCGTGACACTCAACAATGTGTATTTTCATGTTAGGGGACAAGAAAAACTTGACTTTTTTCTCCTGCCATGGGGGGGCGCTCTTTTGGGGAGTAAAAATTCCTTCACACATGTGTTGATGGCTGGACATAGCATCATCCTAGAAAACTTGGAGGCCAGTGAGGACAAAAATAAAAAGTTATAAGACTTTTAAGAATGTGGATTTTTGGGTTATCTTTGGCGCCCCCTAGAACATAAACCGTGGGGTGCAGCGTCATGATTTGTACAACTTTTAATGGCCATGGGGTGTAGATTGGCCTGAGCAGATTTGGTGCCGGTGGAACAAAAGCCTTCGGAGGAGTTAGCGAAATTCCAATGTGTGCGGATCGGCAAAAAATGCGAAATAGCCCTTTAACCGTACATTTGACAGATACGCCCGCACTGACTTTTTTGTAGATCTTATTGAGATACACATGTGTGTCAAATTTTGTGTCATTTTGACAAAGCGTACAGGCGTCAGGTGAGTTTTCACCATAGGGGGCGCTATGGAGCAATTTTTCATTTTTTTGTTTGGGCGACTTCAGAATATCAAATTTTTCACCAGGCCCGGTCGTCCTGCCAAATTTCCAGAGTTTTCGCCAGTGGGAAGTGGGCCATTTTCCAGTTTAAAGCGGAGGAAAAATAACGAAAGAAGAATCCATCAGGAACAAGAGGGCTCTCGCAGCTGCTTAGCAGCTACGCTCGGGCCCTAATAACTAGGACCCCGTTGGGGCACTGTCGGGCCCGAGCTGTGTCGCGTCCCCCCCCCCAACGCGCTGCCTCCCCGTCCTATTCGCGTCCTCTGGCCATCGCCCTCTCTGGTAACGCCCATCACTGCAAAGACCCTTTTCCTTCATCGGCGTTTGCTGTTCTTCCTGCCAGTGCATGTTGCTTTCACTTACACTTGCCACAGCCAGCCTCGTGAGTGCCTAGCCTATTGGATATCACTGTCACCTACACAGGACATTCATTACCTTTCTATTAATACTTTGTTTTTTAATTTCACATTAATTTCCATATTGTATAAACAACTGGAAAAAACTTGAGCCCCTGCCCCTGTATAATCATGTGCACGTCTGTTCTAGCTCCAAGGTGAATCTTCACTGCTCATGTTCTCCTCAGAAGCAGTCACCTCACTCCCCTCAGGTTACTGTACACATGCACCAACTGCCTGCTTCAGGTTTGGATGGAGCTTCATGGTTGTCTTTTGGAGAAATGACCAGTCAAGTTGTGTTTGAAATTTGATTTTTTTCAGGGGCAAAAGGAGCCTCTGCATTCTTGTCAAATATGTAAATAGCATGTTTTTGCAGGTGCTAAAAACCAGACTCTGAGTGTGTGTGTGTGCGTGTGCGTGTGTGTGTGTGTGTGTGTGTGTGTGTGTGTGTGTGTGTGCGTTCAAGTCACATGACATATTTAACCGGATGTAGCTGCAGGACGGAGCCTCGTTGACTCTCCGTTTCAACTTATCTCAAAAGTGAGGACCTCAACCTATATACCAGTTTTTAAATTGTGTTGATAGGCCAAATAAAACCAGAGTTATGATAAATTATGTCCGCGATACTTGTTTTCTGCTTATTTTGATCACGTTCGGCGCTCGATCGCGCTGTATGAGACAGGAAAACATAGCATGCAGACATTAGCGACAGGTCTTACAGGCGGAAAAGGCTTGCCAAAGGAAAAAAAAAACACACCACAACATCTCTCCTATTGGTGGAAAACTTCACCACAACAACCAATCCAAAATTATATGGTGACTGATTGACAAGGGGCGGGCGCTTACGTTCTTCCTGCAATATGAGAAGGGAGGGAGGGACTCTCAGCAGGGATGCAGTCTGGGACACGTAGTTGCAAACCTAGCGACTTTGTTGTTAGATTCAATGACTTTTCAGACCCCCTAACGACTTTTTTAGAAAGAAAGTGACTTTTATCGACTTCTTCTGGAGTTTAGAGACTCTGACATGAAGCAGGCTTTCCTTACTGAGGAGTTAGCAACGCTGCTAAGGGTGCAGAGCCACACATGCGCTCCGAGCTCTGCATGGGAGACTGAAGCTGACAGAGCTGCAGCAGTTAGCAGGTTTCACCCTCAGAGACCACCAGGGGTTCATGTTGAGGCATTTTCATTTTTTTTTTTTTTTTTTGCCATAGACACTGTCAGCACAATCTGCAGTTACACTAACAAAAATGCTGCAAAAAACAAAGAATTATGGAAAAATTACACATGGACTAACATAGAGGAGGATCTACACAAGTTTTTTACATCATGTTTTACATCATGCATCATTTACATCATGTTTTTTTGTAGTGGCATAAATAAAAAGTGACATTTGTGAGACTATACAGTGTTTTGTAAATAATTTTACAAAGAACACCTGGGCCATTGCCTGCATTTTGATATAAATAGAGGTAAATTACTATGTTCTTTGTTAAAAATTTGCATATGTTTTGAAGTTTACAATTTTTATTTGAAGTTTAAGTTTTAAAAACAGTTCATCACACATATTTGTGGTTTTCACAGTAAAAACGTTACTTTTTTCCACTCGGATTTTATGTTTTGTGTGTGAATTTGGGTCCAATGTGTAAATATAGTATGTCAAAATGATAAAATAACTGTAAATTGACACAGGTGAGGTTGTGCTGAAAAAAATGATACCAGGCAAGGCAAGGTAAAAATTTTGTAAGAGGAAATATAAAGGTAAAATCTAAAGTAGTCAAAAACGGCCAATAGTGACTCACAGACTCCACAGACAAGTCCCTTTGGCGCCACTCAGTGGGCAAAACTACTTTGTCTACTGTAATGTATATTTGGGTCATCTTTGGCGCCCCCTAAAACGTAAACCGTGGGGTGCAGCGTCATGATTTTTACAACTTTGAATGGCCATGGGGTGTAGATTGACCTGAGCAAATTTGGTGTCAGTGGGACGAAAGCCTTAGGAGGAGTTAGCGAAATTCCAATGTGTGCGAATCGGCAAAAAATGCAAAATAGCCCTTTTACCGTACATTATACAGATACGCGCTCTTTGACTTTTTCATAGATCTAATTGAGATACACATGATTGTCAATTTTTGTGTCATTTTGCCAAAGCGTACAGGCGTGACAGTCAACAATGTGTATTTTCACCTTAGGGGACAAGAAAAAATGGACTTTTTTCTCCTGCCATGGGGGGGCGCTCTTTTAGGGAGTAAAAATTCCTTCACAAATGTGTTGATGGCTGGACATTGCATCATCCTAGAAAACTTGGAGGCCAGTGAGGACAAAAATAAAAAGTTATAAGACTTTTAAAAATGTGGATTTTTGGGTTATCTTTGGCGCCCCCTAGAACCTAAACCGTGGGGTGCAGCGTCATGATTTGAATAACTTTTAATGGCCATGGGGTGTAGATTGGCCTGAGCAAATGTGGTGCCGGTGGAACGAAAGCCTTAGGAGGAGTTAGCCACATTCCAATGTGTGCGGATCGGCAAAAAATGCGGAATAACCCTTTAACCGTAATTTTGACAGATACGGCCGCACTGACTTTTTTGTAGATCTTATTGAGATACATGTGTGTGTCAATTTTTGTGTCAATATGACAAAGCGTAAAGGCGTGACAGTCAATAGTGTGACTTTTCACCTTAGGGGGCGCTTTGGAGCCATTTTGCATTTTATTGTTTGGGCGACTTCAGAATATCGAATTTTTCACCAGGCCCGGTCGTCCTGCCAAATTTCATGAGTTTTCGCCAGTGGGAAGTGGGCCATTTTCCCCTTCAAAGGGGAGGAAAAATAAGAAGAAAGAAAGAAAGAAAGAAGAAAGAAAAACCTATACAGGAATAATAGGGCTCTACGCCCGGCTGCTCTGCAGCTGGCTCGGGCCCTAAAGAAGAATCCATCAGGAACAAGAGGGCTCTCGCAGCTGCTTAGCAGCTACGCTCGGGCCCTAAAGAAGAATCCATCAGGAACAAGAGGGCTCTCGCAGCTGCTTAGCAGCTACGCTCGGGCCCTAATGGGGGGGCGCTCTTTTGGGGAGTAAAAATTCCTTCACAAATGTGTTGATGGCTGGACATTGCATCATCCTAGAAAACTTGGAGGCCAGTGAGCACAAAAATAAAAAGTTATAAGACTTTTAAGAATGTGGATTTTTGGGTTATCTTTGGCGCCCCCTAGAACATAAACCGTGGGGTGCAGCGTCATTAAATGTACAACTTTTAATGGCCATGGGGTGTAGATTGGCCTGAGCAAATTTGGTGCCGGTGGAACGAAAGCCTTCGGAGGAGTTAGCGAAATTCCAATGTGTGCGGATCGGCAAAAAATGCGAAATAGCCCTTTAACCGTACATTTGACAGATACGCCCGCACTGACTTTTTTGTAGATCTTATTGAGATACACATGTGTGTCAAATTTTGTGTCATTTTTACAAAGCGTACAGGCGTCAGGTGAGTTTTCACCATAGGGGGCGCTATGGAGCCATTTTTCATTTTTTTGTTTGGACGACTTCAGAATATCAAATTTTTCACCAGGCCCGGTCGTCCTGCCAAATTTCCTGAGTTTTCGCCAGTGGGAAGTGGGCCATTTTCCAGTTTAAAGCGGAGGAAAAATAACGAAAGAAGAATCCATCAGGAACAAGAGGGCTCTCGCAGCTGCTTAGCAGCTACGCTCGGGCCCTAATGGGGGGGCGCTCTTTTGGGGAGAAAAAATTCCTTCACAAATGTGTTGATGACTGAACATTGCATCATCCTAGAAAACTTGGAGGCCAGTGAGGACAAAAATAAAGTTATAAGACTTTTAAAAATGTGGATATTTGGGTCCTCTTTGGCGCCCCCTAGAACGTAAACCGTGGGGTGCAGCGTCATGATTTTTACAACTTTGAATGGCCATGGGGTGTAGATTGGCCTGAGCAAATTTGGTGTCAGTGGAACGAAAGCCTTAGGAGGAGTTAGCCACATTCCAATGTGTGCGAATCGGCAAAAAATGCGAAATAGCCCTTTAACCGTACATTTTACAGATACGCGCGCATTGACTTTTTCGTAGATCTTATTGAGATACATGTGTGTGTCAATTTTTGTGTCATTTTGCCAAAGCGTACAGGCGTGACACTAAACAATGTGAATTTTTTACCTTAGGGGACAAGAAAAAATGGACTTTTTTCTCCTGCCATGGGGGGGCGCTCTTTTGGCGAGTAAAAATTCCTTCACAAATGTGTTAATTGCTGGACATTGCATCATCCTAGAGAACTTGGAGGCCAGTGAGGACAAAAATAAAAAGTTATAAGACTTTTAAGACTGTGGATTTTTGGGTTATCTTTGGCGCCCCCTAGAACCTAAACCATGGGGTGCAGCATCATGATTTGTACAACTTTGAATGGCCATGGGGTGTAGATTGGCCTGAGCAAATGTGGTGCCGGTGGAACGAAAGCCTTCGGAGGAGTTAGCAAAATTCCAATGTGTGCGGATCTGCAAAAAATGCGAAATAACCCTTTAACCGTACATTTGACAGATACGCCCGCACTGACTTTTTTGTAGATCTTATTGAGATACATGTGTGTGTCAATTTTTGTGTCAATATGACAAAGCGTACAGGCGTGACAGTCAATAGTGTGAATTTTCACCTTAGGGGGCGCTATGGAGCCATTTTGCATTTTATTGTTTGGGCGACTTCAGAATATCGAATTTTTCACCAGGCCCGGTCGTCCTGCCAAATTTCCTGAGTTTTCGCCAGTGGGAAGTGGGCCATTTTCCAGTTTAAAGCGGAGGAAAAATAATAACTAGGGCCCCGTTGGGGCACTGGCGGGCCCGAGCCGTGTCGCGCTGCCCCCCCCAACGTGCTGCCTCCCCGTCCCATTCGCGTCCTCTGGCCATCGTCCTCTCTGGTAACGCCCATCACTGCAAAGACCCTTTCCTTCATCGGCGTTTGCTGTTCTTCCTGCCAGTGCGTGTTGCTTTCACTTACACTTGCCACAGCCAGCCTCGTGAGTGCCTAGCCTATTTGATATCACTGTCATCTACACAGGACAGTCATAACCTTTCTATTAATACTTTGTTTTTTAATTTCACATTAATTTCCATATTGTATAAATGACTGGAAAAAACTTGAGCCCCTGCCCCTGTATAATCATGTGCACGTCCCTGTTCTAGCTCCAAGGTGAATCTTCACTGCTCATGTTCTCCTCAGAAATAGTCACCTCACTCCCCTCAGGTTACTGTACACATGCACCAACTATCTGCTTCAGGTTTGGATGGAGCTTCATGGTTGTCTTTTGGAGAAATGAACAGTCAAGTTGTGTTTGAAATTTGATTTTTTTCAGGGGCAAAAGGAAGCCTCTGCATTCTTGTCAAATATGTAAACAGCATGTTTTTGCAGGTGCTAAAAAACAGACTCTGAGTGTGTGTGTGTGTGTGTGTGTGTGTGTGTGTGTGTGTGTGTGTGTGTGTGTGTGTGTGTGTTGGCGTGTGTGTATATGTGTGTGTATCCTGCAGTACTCTGTACTCCTGCAGTGGCCAAAAAGACTTTTAAGAATGTGGATTTTTGGGTCATCTTTGGCGCCCCCTAGAACTGCAGTACTCTGTACTCCTGCAGTGGCCAAAATGACTTTTAAGAATGTGGATTTTTGGGTCATCTTTGGCGCCCCCTAGAAATTAAACCGTGGGGTGCAGCGTCATGATTTTTACAACTTTGAATGGCCATGGGGTGTAGATTGCCCAGAGCAAATTTGGTATCAGTGGGACGAAAGCCTTAGGAGGAGATAGCCACATTCCAATGTGTGCGAATCGGCAAAAAATGCGAAATAGCCCTTTAACCGTACATTTGACAGATACGCCCGCACTGACTTTTTTGTAGATCTTATTGAGATACATGTGTGTGTCAATTTTTGTGTCATTTTGACAAAGCGTACAGGCGTGACAGTTAATAGTGTGAATTTTCACCTTAGGGGGCGCTATGGAGCCATTTTGCATTTTATTGTTTGGGCGACTTCAGAATATCGAATTTTTCACCAGGCCCGGTCGTCCTGCCAAATTTCATGAGTTTTCGCCAGTGGGAAGTGGGCCATTTTCCAGTTTAAAGCGGAGGAAAAATAACTAGGACCCCGTTGGGGCACTGGCGGGCCCGAGCCGTGTCGCGTCCCCCCCCCCAACGTGCTGCCTCCCCGTCCCATTTGTGTCCTCTGGCCATCGCCCTCTCTGGTAACGCCCATCACTGCAAAGACCCTTTTCCTTCATCGGCGTTTGCTGTTCTTCCTGCCAGTGCGTGTTGCTTTCACTTACACTTGCCACAGCCAGCCTCGTGAGTGCCTAGCCTATTGGATATCACTGTCACCTACACAGGACAGTCATTACCTTTCTATTAATACTTTGTGTTTTAATTTCACATTAATTTCCATATTGTATAAACGACTGGAAAAAACTTGAGCCCCTGCCCCTGTATAATCATGTGCATGTCTCTGTTCTAGCTCCAAGGTGAATCTTCACTGCTCATGTTCTCCTCAGAAGCACTCACCTCACTCCCCTCAGGTTACTGTACACATGCACCAACTGCCTGCTTCAGGTTTGGATGGAGCTTCATGGTTGTCTTTTGGAGAAATGACCAGTCAAGTTGATTTTGAAATTTGATTTTTTTTCAGGGGCAAAAGGAGCCTCTGCATTCTTGTCAAATATGTAAATAGCATGTTTTTGCAGGTGCTAAAAACCAGACTCTGAGTGTGTGTGTGTGTGTGTGTGTGTGTGTGTGTGTGCGTGTGTGTGTGTCTGTGTGTGCGTTCAAGTCACATGACATATTTAACCGGATGTAGCTGCAAGACGGAGCCTCGTTGACTCTCCGTTTCAACTTATTTCAAAAGTGAGGACCTCAACCTATATACCAGTTTTTAAATTGTGTTGATAGGCCAAATAAAACCAGAGTTATGATAAATTATGTCCGCGATACTTTTTTTCTGCTTATTTTGATCACGTTCGGCGCTCGATCGCGCTGTATGAGACAGGAAAACATAGCATGCAGACATTAGCGACAGGTCTTACAGGCGGAAAAGGCTTGCCAAAAGAAAAAAAAAACACACCACAACATCTCTCCTATTGGTGGAAAACTTCACCACAACAACCAATCCAAAATTATATGGTGACTGATTGACAAGGGGCGGGCGCTTACGTTCTTCCTGCAACATGAGAAGGGAGGGAGGGACTCTCAGCAGGGATGCAGTCTGGGACACGTAGTTGCAAACCTAGCGACTTTGTTGTTAGATTCAATGACTTTTCAGACCCCCTAACGACTTTTTTTTAGAAAGAAAGGGACTTTTATCTACTTCTTCTGGAGTTTAGAGACTCTGACATGAAGCAGGCTTTCCTTACTGAGGAGTTAGCAACGCTGCTAAGGGTGCAGAGCCACACATGCGCTCAGAGCTCTGCATGGGAGACTGAAGCTGACAAAGCTGCAGCAGTTAGCAGGTTTCACCCTCAGAGACCACCAGGGGTTCATGTTGAGGCATTTTAATTTTTTTTTTTTTTGTGCCATAGACACTGTCAGCACAATCTGCAGTTACACTAACAAAAATGCTGCAAAAAACAAAGAATTATGGAAAAATTACACATGGACTGACATAGAGGAGGATCTACACAAGTTTTTTACATCATGTTTTACATCATGCATCATTTACATCATGTTTTTTTGTAGTGGCATAAATAAAAAGTGACATTTGTGAGACTATACAGTGTTTTGTAAATAATTTTACAAAGAACGCCTGGGCCATTGCCTGCATTTTGATGTAAATAGAGGTAAATCACTATGTTCTTTGTTAAAAATTTGCATATGTTTTGAAGTTTACAATTTTTATTTGAAGTTTAAGTTTTGAAAACAGTTCATCACACATATTTGTGGTTTTCACAGTAAAAATGTTACTTTTTTCCACTCGGATTTTATGTTTTGTGTGTGAATTTGGGTCCATTGTGTAAATTCAGTATGTCAACATGATAAAATAACTGCAAATTCGCACAGGTGAGGTTGTGCTGAAAAAAATGATACCAGGCAAGGCAAGGTAAAAATTTTGTAAGAGGAAATATAAAGGTAAAATCTAAAGTAGTCAAAAACGGCCAATAGTGACTCACAGACTCCACAGACAAGTCCCTTTGGCGCCACTCAGTGTGCAAAACTACTTTGTCTACTGTAATGTATATTTGGGTCATCTTTGGCGCCCCCTAAAACGTAAACCGTGGGGTGCAGCGTCATGATTTTTACAACTTTGAATGGCCATGGAGTGTAGATTGGCCTGAGCAAATTTGGTGTCAGTGGGACGAAAGCCTTAGGGGGAGTTAGCGAAATTCCAATGTGTGCGAATCGGCAAAAAATGCAAAATAGCCCTTTTACCGTACATTATACAGATACGCGCTTTTTGACTTTTTCGTAGATCTAATTGAGATACACGTGATTGTCAATTTTTGTGTCAATATGACAAAGCGTTCAGGCATGACACTCAACAATGTGTATTTTCATGTAAGGGGACAAGAAAAAATTGACTTTTTTCTCCTGCCATGGGGGGGCGCTCTTTTGGGGAGTAAAAATTCCTTCACAAATGTGTTGATGGCTGGACATTGCATCATCCTAGAAAACTTGGAGGGCAGTGAGGACAAAAATAAAAAGTTATAAGACTTTTAAGAATGTGGATTTTGGGTTATCTTTGGCGCCCCCTAGAACGTAAACCGTGGGGTGCAGCGTCATGATTTGTACAACTTTGAATGGCCATGGGGTGTAGATTGGCCTGCGCAAATGTGGTGCCGGTGGAACGAAAGCCTTCGGAGGAGTTAGCGAAATTCCAATGTGTGCAGATCTGCAAAAAATGCAAAATAATCCATTAACCGTACATTTGACAGATATGCCCGCACTGACTTTTTTGTAGATCTTATTGAGATACATGTGTGTGTCAATTTTTGTGTCAATATGACAAAGCGTACAGCCGTCATGTGAATTTTCACCTTAGGGGGCGCTATGGAGCCATTTTGCATTTTATTGTTTGGGCGACTTCAGAATATCGAATTTTTCACCAGGCCCGGTCGTCCTGCCAAATTTCCTGAGTTTTCGCCAGTGGGAAGTGGGCCATTTTCCAGTTTAAAGCGGAGGAAAAATAATAACCAGTTTTTAAATTGTGTTGATAGGCCAAATAAAACCAGAGTTATGATAAATTATGTCCGCGATACTTGTTTTCTGCTTATTTTGATCACGTTCGGCGCTCGATCGCGCTGTATGAGACAGGAAAACATAGCATGCAGACATTAGCGACAGGTCTTACAGGCGGAAAAGGCTTGCCAAAGGAAAAAAAATACACACCACAACATCTCTCCTATTGGTGGAAAACTTCACCACAACAACCAATCCAAAATTATATGGTGACTGATTGACAAGGGGCGGGCGCTTACGTTCTTCCTGCAATATGAGAAGGGAGGGAGGGACTCTCAGCAGGGATGCAGTCTGGGACACGTAGTTGCAAACCTAGCGACTTTGTTGTTAGATTCAATGACTTTTCAGACCCCCTAACGACGTTTTTTTAGAAAGAAAGTGACTTTTATCGACTTCTTCTGGAGTTTAGAGACTCTGACATGAAGCAGGCTTTCCTTACTGAGGAGTTAGCAACGCTGCTAAGGGTGCAGAGCCACACATGCGCTCCGAGCTCTGCATGGGAGACTGAAGCTGACAGAGCTGCAGCAGTTAGCAGGTTTCACCCTCAGAGACCACCAGGGGTTCATGTTGAGGCATTTTCAGTTTTTTTTTTTTTTTTGCCATAGACACTGTCAGCACAATCTGCAGTTACACTAACAAAAATGCTGCAAAAAACAAAGAATTATGGAAAAATTACACATGGACTGACATAGAGGAGGATCTACACAAGTTTTTTACATCATGTTTTACATCATGCATCATTTACATCATGTTTTTTTGTAGTGGCATAAATAAAAAGTGACATTTGTGAGACTATACAGTGTTTTGTAAATAATTTTACAAAGAACACCTGGGCCATTGCCTGCATTTTGATGTAAATAGAGGTAAATTACTATGTTCTTTGTTAAAAATTTGCATATGTTTTGAAGTTTACAATTTTTATTTGAAGTTTAAGTTTTAAAAACAGTTCATCACACATATTTGTGGTTTTCACAGTAAAAACGTTACTTTTTTCCACTCGGATTTTATGTTTTGTGTGTGAATTTGGGTCCAATGTGTAAATATAGTATGTCAAAATGATAAAATAACTGTAAATTGACACAGGTGAGGTTGTGCTGAAAAAAATGATACCAGGCAAGGCAAGGTAAAAATTTTGTAAGAGGAAATATAAAGGTAAAATCTAAAGTAGTCAATAACGGCCAATAGTGACTCACAGACTCCACAGACAAGTCCCTTTGGCGCCACTCAGTGGGCAAAACTACTTTGTCTACTGTAATGTATATTTGGGTCATCTTTGGCGCCCCCTAAAACGTAAACCGTGGGGTGCCGCGTCATGATTTTTACAACTTTGAATGGCCATGGAGTGTAGATTGGCCTGAGCAAATTTGGTGTCAGTGGGACGAAAGCCTTAGGAGGAGTTAGCAAAATTCCAATATGTGCGAATCGGCAAAAAATGCAAAATAGCCCTTTTACCGTACATTATACAGATACGCGCTCTTGACTTTTTCGTAGATCTAATTGAGATACACATGATTGTCAATTTTTGTGTCATTTTGCCAAAGCGTACAGGCGTGACAGTCAACAATGTGTATTTTCACCTTAGGGGACAAGAAAAAATTGACTTTTTTCTCCTGCCATGGGGGGGCGCTCTTTTAGGGAGTAAAAATTCCTTCACAAATGTGTTGATGGCTGGACATTGCATCATCCTAGAAAACTTGGAGGCCAGTGAGGACAAAAATAAAAAGTTATAAGACTTTTAAAAATTTGGATTTTTGGGTTATCTTTGGCGCCCCCTAGAACGTAAACCGTGGGGTGCAGCGTCATGATTTGAATAACTTTTAATGGCCATGGGGTGTAATTTGGCCTGAGCAAATGTGGTGCCGGTGGAACGAAAGCCTTCGGAGGAGTTAGCGAAATTCCAATGTGTGCGAATCGGCAAAAAATGCGGAATAACCCTTTAACCGTACATTTGACAGATACGCGCCCATTGACTTTTTTGTAGATCTTATTGAGATACATGTGTGTGTCAATTTTTGTGTCATTTTGACAAAGCGTACAGGCGTGACACTCAACAATGTGTATTTTCACCTTAGGGGACAAGAAAAAATGGACTTTTTTCTCCTGCCATGGGGGGGCGCTCTTTTGGGGAGTAAAAATTCCTTCACAAATGTGTTGATGGCTGGACATTGCATCATCCTAGAAAACTTGGAGGCCAGTGAGGACAAAAATAAAAAGTTATAAGACTTTGAAATATGTGGATTTTAGTGTTATCTTTGGCGCCCCCTAGAACCTAAACCGTGGGGTGCAGCGTCATGATTTGAATAACTTTTAATGGCCATGGGGTGTAGATTGGCCTGAGCAAATGTGGTGCCGGTGGAACGAAAGCCTTCGGAGGAGTTAGCGAAATTCCAATGTGTGCGGATCGGCAAAAAATGCGCAATAACCCTTTAACCGTACATTTGACAGATACGCCCGCGCTGACTTTTTTGTAGATCTTATTGAGATACATGTGTGTGTCAATTTTTGTGTCATTTTGACAAAGCGTACAGGCGTCAGGTGAATTTTTCACCTTAGGGGGCGCTATGGAGCCATTTTGCATTTTCTTGTTTGGGCAACTTCGGAATATCAAATTTTTCACCAGGCCCGGTCGTCCTGCCAAATTTCATGAGTTTTCGCCAATGGGAAGTGGGCCATTTTCCAGTTCAAAGGGGAGGAAAAATAATAATAACAAAAGAAGGAAACATGCAGGAACAAGAGGGCTCTCGCAGCTGCTTAGCAGCTACGCTCGGGCCCTAAAAAACCCCTACAGGAATAACAGGGCCTACGCCCGGCTGCTCTGCAGCTGGCTCGGGCCCTAAAGAAAGAAAGAAAGAAAGAAAGAAACAAAGAAAAACCACTTGGGGAATAATAGGGCTCTCGCAGCTGCTTAGCAGCTACGCTCGGGCCCTAACCAGTACATATCATGACATAACCCATCCCTTTCATTAGGGCCCGAGCGTAGCTGCTAAGCAGCTGCGAGAGCCCTCTTGTTCCTGATGGATTCTTCTTTAGGGCCCGAGCGTAGCTGCTAAGCAGCTGCGAGAGCCCTATTATTCCCCAAGTGGTTTTTCTTTGTTTCTTTAGGGCCCGAGCGTAGCTGCTAAGCAGCTGCGAGAGCCCTCTTGTTCCTGATGGATTCTTCTTTAGGGCCCGAGCGTAGCTGCTAAGCAGCTGCGAGAGCCCTCTTGTTCCTGATGGATTCTTCTTTTGTTATTATTATTAGGGCCCGAGCGCAGCTGCTAAGCAGCTGCGAGAGCCCTCTTGTTCCTGCATGTTTCCTTCTTTAGGGCCCGAGCGTAGCTGCTAAGCAGCTGCGAGAGCCCTATTATTCCCCAAGTGGTTTTTCTTTGTTTCTTTCTTTCTTTCTTTCTTTCTTTCTTTCTTCTTTTTCCTCCCCTTTGAACTGGAAAATGGCCCACTTCCCACTGGCGAAAACTCATGAAATTTGGCAGGACGACCGGGCCTGGTGAAAAATTCGATATTCTGAAGTCGCCCAAACAATAAAATGCAAAATGGCTCCATAGCGCCCCCTAAGGTGGAAATTCACACTATTGACTGTCACGCCTATACGCTTTGTCATATTGACACAAAAATTGACACACATATGTATCTCAATAAGATCTACAAAAAAGTCAGTGCGGCCGTATCTGTCAAATGTACGGTTAAAGGGTTATTTCGCATTTTTTTCCGATCCGCACACATTGGAATTTCGCTAACTCCTCCGAAGGCTTTCGTTCCACCGGCACCACATTTGCTCAGGCCAATCTACACCCCGTGGCCATTAAAAGTTATCAAAATCATGACGCTGCACCCCAAGGTTTAGGTTCTAGGGGGCGCCAAAGATAACCCTAAGATCCACATATTTAAAAGTCTTATAACTTTTTATTTTTGCCCTCACTGGCCTCCAAGTTTTCTAGGATGATGCAATGTCCAGCCATCAACACATTTGTGAAGGAATTTTTACTCCCCAAAAGAGCGCCCCCCCATGGCAGGAGAAAAAAGTCCATTTTTTCTTGTCCCCTAAGGTGAAAATACACATTGTTGAGTGTCACGCCTATACGCTTTGTCAAAATGACACAAAAATTGACACACACATGTAACTCAATAAGATCTACGAAAAAGTCAATGCGCGCGTATCTGTCAAATGTACGGTTAAAGGGTTATTCCGCATTTTTTGCCGATCCGCACACATTGGAATGTGGCTAACTCCTCCTAAGGCTTTCGTTCCACCGGCACCACATTTGCTCAGGCCAATCTACACTCCATGGCCATTAAAAGTTATTCAAATCATGACGCTGCACCCCACGGTTTAGGTTCTAGGGGGCGCCAAAGACAACCCAAAAATCCACATATTTAAAAGTCTTATAACTTTTTATTTTTGTCCTCACTGGCCTCCAAGTTTTCTAGGATGATGCAATGTCCAGCCATCAACACATTTGTGAAGGAATTTTTACTCCCCAAAAGAGCGCCCCCCCATGGCAGGAGAAAAAAGTCCATTTTTTCTTGTCCCCTAAGGTGAAAATACATATTGTTGAGATTCACGCCTATACGCTTTGTCATATTGACACAAAAATTGACACACACATGTAACTCAATAAGATCTACGAAAAAGTCAATGCGCGCGTATCTGTCAAATGTACGGTTAAAGGGTTATTCCGCATTTTTTGCCGATCCGCACACATTGGAATGTGGCTAACTCCTCCTAAGGCTTTCGTTCCACCGGCACCACATTTGCTCAGGCCAATCTACACCCCATGGCCATTAAAAGTTATTCAAATCATGACGCTGAACCCCACGGTTTAGGTTCTAGGGGGCGCCAAAGACAACCCTAAAATCCACATATTTAAAAGTCTTATAACTTTTTATTTTTGTCCTCACTGGCCTCCAAGTTTTCTAGGATGATGCAATGTCCAGCCATCAACACATTTGTGAAGGAATTTTTACTCCCCAAAAGAGCGCCCCCCCATGGCAGGAGAAAAAAGTCCATTTTTTCACCTTTGTCCCCTAAGGTGAAAATACATATTGTTGAGATTCACGCCTATACGCTTTGTCATATTGACACAAAATTTGACAATCACGTGCCTTGCCTGGTATCATTTTTTTTCAGCACAACCTCACCTGTGCGAATTTACAGTTATTTTATCATGTTGACATACTGAATTTACACAATGGACCCAAATTCACACACAAAACATGAAAACCTGCAAAAACATGCTATTTACATATTTGACAAGAATGCAGAGGCTCCTTTTGCCCCTGAAAAAAATCAAATTTCAAACACAACTTGACTGCTCATTTCTCCAAAAGACAACCATGAAGCTCCATCCAAACCTGAAGCAGGCAGTTGGTGCATGTGTACAGTAACCTGAGGGGAGTGAGGTGAGTGCTTCTGAGGAGAACATGAGCAGTGAAGATTCACCTTGGAGCTAGAACAGAGACATGCACATGATTATACAGGGGCAGGGGCTCAAGTTTTTTCCAGTCGTTTATACAATATGGAAATTAATGTGAAATTAAAACACAAAGTATTAATAGAAAGGTAATGACTGTCCTATGTAGGTGACAGTGATATCCAATATGCTAGGCACTCACGAGGCTGGCTGTGGCAAGTGTAAGTGAAAGCAACACGCACTGGCAGGAAGAACAGCAAACGCCGATGAAGGAAAAGGGTCTTTGCAGTGATGGGCGTTACCAGAGAGGGCGATGGCCAGAGGACACAAATGGGACGGGAAGGCAGCACGTTGGGGGGGGGGGGGGGCGCGACACGGCTCGGGCCCGCCAGTGCCCCAACGGGGTCCTAGTTTGTTATTAGGGCCCGAGCGTAGCTGCTAAGCAGCTGCGAGAGCCCTCTTGTTCCTGCATGTTTCCTTCTTTTGTTATTATTATTATTAGGGCCCGAGCCAGCTGCAGAGCAGCCGGGCGTAGGCCCTGTTATTCCTGTAGGGGTTTTTCTTTGTTTCTTTCTTTCTTCTTTTTCCTCCCCTTTGAACTGGAAAATGGCCCACTTCCCACTGGCGAAAACTCAGGAAATTTGGCAGGACGACCGGGCCTGGTGAAAAATTCGATATTCCGAAGTCGCCCAAACAAGAAAATGCAAAATGGCTCCATAGCGCCCCCTAAGGTGAAAATTCACACTATTGACTGTCACGCCTGTACGCTTTGTCAAAATGACACAAAAATTGACACACACATGTATCTCAATAAGATCTACAAAAAAGTCAGTGCGGGCGTATCTGTCAAATGTACGGTTAAAGGGTTATTTCGCATTTTTTGCCGATCCGCACACATTGGAATTTCGCTAACTCCTCCGAAGGCTTTCGTTCCACCGGCACCACATTTGCTCAGGCCAATCTACACCCCATGGCCATTAAAAGTTATTCAAATCATGACGCTGCACCCCACGGTTTAGGTTCTAGGGGGCGCCAAAGATAACCCTAAAATCCACATTTTTAAAAGTCTTATAACTTTTTATTTTTGCCCTCACTGGCCTCCAAGTTTTCTAGGATGATGCAATGTCCAGCCATCAACACATTTGTGAAGGAATTTTTACTCCCCAAAAGAGCGCCCCCCCATGGCAGGAGAAAAAAGTCCATTTTTTCTTGTCCCCTAAGGTGAAAATACACATTGTTGAGTGTCACGCCTGTACGCTTTGTCAAAATGACACAAAAATTGACACACACATGTATCTCAATAAGATCTACAAAAAAGTCCATGCGCGCGTATCTGTCTAATGTACGGTTAAAGGGTTATTCCGCATTTTTTGCCGATTCGCACACATTGGAATTTCGCTAACTCCTCCGAAGGCTTTCGTTCCACCGGCACCACATTTGCTCAGGCCAAATTACACCCCATGGCCATTAAAAGTTATTCAAATCATGACGCTGCACCCCACGGTTTACGTTCTAGGGGGCGCCAAAGATAACCCAAAAATCCACATTTTTAAAAGTCTTATAACTTTTTATTTTTGTCCTCACTGGCCTCCAAGTTTTCTAGGATGATGCAATGTCCAGCCATCAACACATTTGTGAAGGAATTTTTACTCCCTAAAAGAGCGCCCCCCCCATGGCAGGAGAAAAAAGTCCATTTTTTCTTGTCCCCTAAGGTGAAAATACACATTGTTGACTGTCACGCCTGTACGCTTTGGCAAAATGACAGAAAAATTGACACACACATGTATCTCAATAAGATCTACAAAAAAGTCCATGAGCGCGTATCTGTCAAATGTACGGTTAAAGGGTTATTCCACATTTTTTGCCAATTCGCACACATTGGAATTTCGCTAACTCCTCCTAAGGCTTTCGTCCCACTGACACCAAATTTGCTCAGGCCAATCTACACTCCATGGCCATTCAAAGTTGTAAAAATCATGACGCTGCACCCCACGGTTTACGTTTTAGGGGGCGCCAAAGATGACCCAAATATACATTACAGTAGACAAAGTAGTTTTGCCCACTGAGTGGCGCCAAAGGGACTTGTCTGTGGAGTCTGTGAGTCACTATTGGCCGTTTTTGACTACTTTAGATTTTACCTTTATATTTCCTCTTACAAAATTTTTACCTTGCCTTGCCTGGTATCATTTTTTTCAGCACAACCTCACCTGTGTCAATTTACAGTTATTTTATCATTTTGACATACTATATTTACACATTGGACCCAAATTCACACACAAAACATAAAATCCGAGTGGAAAAAAGTAACGTTTTTACTGTGAAAACCACAAATATGTGTGATGAACTGTTTTTAAAACTTAAACTTCAAATAAAAATTGTAAACTTCAAAACATATGCAAATTTTTAACAAAGAACATAGTAATTTACCTCTATTTACATCAAAATGCAGGCAATGGCCCAGGTGTTCTTTGTAAAATTATTTACAAAACACTGTATAGTCTCACAAATGTCACTTTTTATTTATGCCACTACAAAAAAACATGATGTAAATGATGCATGATGTAAAACATGATGTAAAAAACTTGTGTAGATCCTCCTCTATGTTAGTCCATGTGTAATTTTTCCATAATTCTTTGTTTTTTGCAGCATTTTTGTTAGTGTAACTGCAGATTGTGCTGACAGTGTCTATGGCAAAAAAAAAAAAAAAACTGAAAATGCCTCAACATGAACCCCTGGTGGTCTCTGAGGGTGAAACCTGCTAACTGCTGCAGCTCTGTCAGCTTCAGTCTCCCATGCAGAGCTCGGAGCGCATGTGTGGCTCTGCACCCTTAGCAGCGTTGCTAACTCCTCAGTATGGAAAGCCTGCTTCATGTCAGAGTCTCTAAACTCCAGAAGAAGTCGATAAAAGTCCCTTTCTTTCTAAAAAAAGTCGTTAGGGGGTCTGAAAAGTCATTGAATCTAACAACAAAGTCGCTAGGTTTGCAACTACGTGTCCCAGACTGCATCCCTGCTGAGAGTCCCTCCCTCCCTTCTCATATTGCAGGAAGAACGTAAGCGCCCGCCCCTTGTCAATCAGTCACCATATAATTTTGGATTGGTTGTTGTGGTGAAGTTTTCCACCAATAGGAGAGATGTTGTGGTGTGTTTTTTTTTTCCTTTGGCAAGCCTTTTCCGCCTGTAAGACCTGTCGCTAATGTCTGCATGCTATGTTTTCCTGTCTCATACAGCGCGATCGAGCGCCGAACGTGATCAAAATAAGCAGAAAACAAGTATCGCGGACATAATTTATCATAACTCTGGTTTTATTTGGCCTATCAACACAATTTAAAAACTGGTATATAGGTTGAGGTCCTCACTTTTGAGATAAGTTGAAACGGAGAGTCAACGAGGCTCCGTCTTGCAGCTACATCCGGTTAAATATGTCATGTGACTTGAACGCACACACACACACACACACACACACACACAGACACACACACGCACACACACACACTCAGAGTCTGGTTTTTAGCACCTGCAAAAACATGCTATTTACATATTTGACAAGAATGCAGAGGCTCCTTTTGCCCCTGAAAAAAATCTAATTTCAAACACAACTTGACTGGTCATTTCTCCAAAAGACAACCATGAAGCTCCATCCAAACCTGAAGCAGGCAGTTGGTGCATGTGTACAGTAACCTGAGGGGAGTGAGGTGACTGCTTCTGAGGAGAACATGAGCAGTGAAGATTCACCTTAGAGCTAGAACAGAGACGTGCACATGATTATACAGGGGCAGGGGCTCAAGTTTTTTCCAGTTGTTTATACAATATGGAAATTAATGTGAAATTAAAAAACAAAGTATTAATAGAAAGGTAATGACTGTCCTGTGTAGGTGACAGTGATATCCAATAGGCTAGGCACTCACGAGGCTGGCTGTGGCAAGTGTAAGTGAAAGCAACACGCACTGACAGGAAGAACAGCAAACGCCGATGAAGGAAAAGGGTCTTTGCAGTGATGGGCGTTACCAGAGAGGGCGATGGCCAGAGGACACAAATGGGACGGGGAGGCAGCGCGTTGGGGGGGGGGACGCGACACAGCTCGGGCCCGCCAGTGCCCCAACGGGGTCCTAGTGTTATTATTATTATTTTTCCTCCGCTTTAAACTGGAAAATGGCCCACTTCCCACTGGCGAAAACTCATGAAATTTGGCAGGACGACCGGGCCTGGTGAAAAATTCGATATTCTTAAGTCGCCCAAACAATAAAATGCAAAATGGCTCCATAGCGCCCCCTAAGGTGAAAATTCACACTATTGACTGTCATGCCTGTACGCTTTGTCAAAATGACACAAAAATTGACACACACATGTATCTCAATAAGATCTACAAAAAAGTCAGTGCGGGCGTATCTGTCAAATGTACGGTTAAAGGGTTATTTCGCATTTTTTGCAGATCCCCACACATTGGAATTTCGCTAACTCCTCTGAAGACTTTCGTTCCACCAGCACCACATTTGCTCAGGCCAATCTACACCCCATGGCCATTAAAAGTTGTACAAATCATGACGCTGCACCCCACGGTTTAGGTTCTAGGGGGCGCCAAAGATAACCCAAAAATCCACATTCTTTAAAGTCTTATAACTTTTTATTTTTGTCCTCACTGGCCTCCAAGTTCTCTAGGATGATGCAATGTCCAGCCATCAACACATTTGTAAAGGAACTTTTACTCCCCAAAAGAGCGCCCCCCCATGGCAGGAGAAAAAAGTTAATTTTTTCTTGTCCCCTAGGGTGAAAATACACATTGTTCAGTGTCACGCCTGTACGCTTTGTCATATTGACACAAAATTTGACAATCACGTGTATCTCAATAAGATCTACGAAAAAGTCAATGCGCACGTATCTGTAAAATGTACGGTTAAAGGGCTATTTCGCATTTTTTGCCGATTCGCACACATTGGAATGTGGCTAACTCCTCCTAAAGCTTTCGTCCCATCGGCACCAAATTTGCTCAGGCCAATCTACACCCCATGTCCATTCAAAGTTGTACAAATCATGACGCTGCACTCCACGGTTTACGTTCAAGGGGGCGCCAAATATCCACAATTTCAAAAGTCTTATAACTTTTTGTTTTTGTCCTCACTGGCCTCCAAGTTTTCTAGGATAATGCAATGTTCAGCCATCAACACATTTGTGAAAGAATTTTTTCTCCCCAAACGAGCGCCCCCCCATGGCAGGAGAAAAAGTTAAGTTTTTCCTGCCCATCGCCCAATGGCTCAAACGCATCGCTCTCTCGGCAAAACCGAAAGGAGGAGCAACTTGCCATTTGGATATATTGAAGCTGTGTTTGTGCCCTCACTCATGGTCCAGACTTTTTTCAAAAAGGACATGGAGTTTGTCTGCAGCGAGCGTTTTGGTAGAAACTGCGCCTCCCATTCATTATAATGGTAAATGACCACAGACAAGTGCGCACACCATCTTTGGACCTTGAGTGTGACTCGATCGGGAGGGGGAGGGGGTCGCGCTGGGGGCAGCACGACACGGCTCGGGCCCGCCAGTGCCCCAGCGGGGCCCTAGTTATTTTTCTGCCCCTTTGAACTGGAAAATGGCCCACTTCCCACTGGTGAAAAGTCATGAAATTTGGCAGGACGACCGGGCCTGGTGAAAAATTCGATATTCTGAAGTCGCCCAAAAAATCAAATGCAAAATGGCTCCATAACGCCCCCTAAGGTGAAAAATTCACATGATTGAGTGTCACGCCTGTACGCTTTGTCAAAATGACACAAAATTTGACACACACGTGTATCTCAATAAGATCTACAAAAAAGTCAGTGCGGGCGTATCTGTCAAATGTACGGTTAAAGGGCTATTTCGCATTTTTTGCCGATCCGCACACATTGGAATTTCGCTAACTCCTCCGAAGGCTTTCGTTCCACCGGCACCAAATTTGCTCAGGCCAATCTACACCCCATGGCCATTAAAAGTTGTACAAATCATGACGCTGCATCCCACGGTTTACGTTCTAGGGGGCGCCAAAGATAAACCAGAAATCCACATTCTTAAAAGTCGTATAACTTTTTATTTTTGTCCTCACTGGCCTCCAAGTTTTCTAGGATGATGCAATGTCTAGCCATCAACACATTTGTGAAGGAATTTTTACTCCCCAAAGGAGCGCCCCCCCATGGCAGGAGAAAAAAGTCCAGTTTTTCTTCCCCCTAAGGTGAAAATTCACATTATTGAGTGTCACGCCTGTACGCTTTGTCATATTGAAACAAACTTTGACAATCACGTGTTTCTCAATAAGGTCTACGAAATAGTCAATGGCCGCGTATCTGTATAATGTACGGTTAAAGGGCTATTTCGCATTTTTGGTCGATCCGCACACATTGGAATGTGGCTAACTCCTCCTAAATCTTTCGTTCCACTGACACCAAATTTACTCAGGCCAATCTACACCCCATGGCCATTCAAAGTTGTAAAAATCATGACGCTGCACCCCACGGTTTATGTTCTAGGGGGCGCCAAAGATAACCCAAAAATCCACATTCTTAAAAGTCTTATAACTTTTTATTTTTGTCCTCACTGGCCTCCAAGTTTTCTAGGATGATGCAATGTCTAGCCATCAACACATTTGTGAAGGAATTTTTACTCCCTAAAAGAGCGCCCCCCATGGCAGGAGAAAAAGTCAAGTTTTTCCTGCCCATCGCTCAATGACTCAAACACATCGCTCTCTCGGCAAAACCGAAAGGAGGAGCAACTTGCCATTTGGATATATCCTAGCTGTGTTTGTGCCCTCACTCATGGTCCAGTCCTTTTCAAATAGGACATGTAGTTTGTCTGCGGCGAGCGTTTTGGTAGAAACTGCGCCTCCCATTCATTATAATTGTAAATGACCACAGACAAGTGCGCACACCATCTTTGGACCTTGAGTGTGACGCGATCGGTAGGGAGAGGCGGTCGTGTTGGGGGCGGCGCGACACGGCTCGGGCCCGCCAGTGCCCCAACTGGGCCCTAGTTCTTTCTTTCTTTCTTCGTTTTCCTCCCCTTTGAACTGGAAAATGGCCCACTTCCCACTGGCAAAAACTCATGAAATTTGGCAGGACGACCGGGCCTGGTGAAAAATTCGATATTCTGAAGTCGCCCAAACAATAAAATGCAAAATGGCTCCATAGCGCCCCCTAAGGTGGAAATTCACACTATTGACTGTCACGCCTGTACGCTTTGTCATATTGACACAAAAATTGACACACATATGTATCTCAATAAGATCTACAAAAAAGTCAGTGCGGCCGTATCTGTCAAATGTACGGTTAAAGGGTTATTTCGCATTTTTTTCCGATCCGCACACATTGGAATTTCGCTAACTCCTCCGAAGGCTTTCGTTCCACCGGCACCACATTTGCTCAGGCCAATCTACACCCCGTGGCCATTAAAAGTTATCAAAATCATGACGCTGCACCCCAAGGTTTAGGTTCTAGGGGGCGCCAAAGATAACACTAAAATCCACATATTTAAAAGTCTTATAACTTTTTATTTTTGTCCTCACTGGCCTCCAAGTTTTCTAGGATGATGCAATGTCCAGCCATCAACACATTTGTGAAGGAATTTTTACTCCCCAAAAGAGCGCCCCCCCATGGCAGGAGAAAAAAGTCCATTTTTTCTTGTCCCCTAAGGTGAAAATACACATTGTTGAGTGTCACGCCTATACGCTTTGTCAAAATGACACAAAAATTGACACACACATGTAACTCAATAAGATCTACGAAAAAGTCAATGCGCGCGTATCTGTCAAATGTACGGTTAAAGGGCTATTTCGCATTTTTTGCCAATTCGCACACATTGGATTGTGGCTAACTCCTCCTAAAGCTTTCGTCCCATCGGCACCAAATTTGCTCAGGCCAATCTACACCCCATGGCCATTAAAAGTTATTCAAATCATGACGCTGCACCCCACGGTTTAGGTTCTAGGGGGCGCCAAAGACAACCCTAAAATCCACATATTTAAAAGTCTTATAACTTTTTATTTTTGTCCTCACTGGCCTCCAAGTTTTCTAGGATGATGCAATGTCCAGCCATCAACACATTTGTGAAGGAATTTTTACTCCCCAAAAGAGCGCCCCCCCCATGGCAGGAGAAAAAAGTCCATTTTTTCTTGTCCCCTAAGGTGAAAATACATATTGTTGAGATTCACGCCTATACGCTTTGTCATATTGACACAAAATTTGACAATCACGTGCCTTGCCTGGTATCATTTTTTTTCAGCACAACCTCACCTGTGCGAATTTACAGTTATTTTATCATGTTGACATACTGAATTTACACAATGGACCCAAATTCACACACAAAACATAAAATCCGAGTGGAAAAAAGTAACATTTTTACTGTGAAAACCACAAATATGTGTGATGAACTGTTTTTAAAACTTAAACTTCAAATAAAAATTGTGAACTTCAAAACATATGCAAATTTTTAACAAAGAACATAGTGATTTACCTCTATTTACATCAAAATGCAGGCAATGGCCCAGGCGTTCTTTGTAAAATTATTTACAAAACACTGTATAGTCTCACAAATGTCACTTTTTATTTATGCCACTACAAAAAAACATGATGTAAATGATGCATGATGTAAAACATGATGTAAAAAACTTGTGTAGATCCTCCTCTATGTCAGTCCATGTGTAATTTTTCCATAATTCTTTGTTTTTTGCAGCATTTTTGTTAGTGTAACTGCAGATTGTGCTGACAGTGTCTATGGCACAAAAAAAAAAAAACTAAAATGCCTCAACATGAACCCCTGGTGGTCTCTGAGGGTGAAACCTGCTAACTGCTGCAGCTCTGTCAGCTTCAGTCTCCCATGCAGAGCTCTGAGCGCATGTGTGGCTCTGCACCCTTAGCAGCGTTGCTAACTCCTCAGTAAGGAAAGCCTGCTTCATGTCAGAGTCTCTAAACTCCAGAAGAAGTCGATAAAAGTCCCTTTCTTTCTAAAAAAAAGTCGTTAGGGGGTCTGAAAAGTCATTGAATCTAACAACAAAGTCGCTAGGTTTGCAACTACGTGTCCCAGACTGCATCCCTGCTGAGAGTCCCTCCCTCCCTTCTCATGTTGCAGGAAGAACGTAAGCGCCCGCCCCTTGTCAATCAGTCACCATATAATTTTGGATTGGTTGTTGTGGTGAAGTTTTCCACCAATAGGAGAGATGTTGTGGTGTGTTTTTTTTTTCTTTGGCAAGCCTTTTCCGCCTGTAAGACCTGTCGCTAATGTCTGCATGCTATGTTTTCCTGTCTCATACAGCGCGATCGAGCGCCGAACGTGATCAAAATAAGCAGAAAAAAGTATCGCGGACATAATTTATCATAACTCTGGTTTTATTTGGCCTATCAACACAATTTAAAAACTGGTATATAGGTTGAGGTCCTCACTTTTGAGATAAGTTGAAACGGAGAGTCAACGAGGCTCCGTCTTGCAGCTACATCCGGTTAAATATGTCATGTGACTTGAACGCACACACAGACACACACACACGCACACACACACACACACACACACACACACACACACACACACACACACTCAGAGTCTGGTTTTTAGCACCTGCAAAAACATGCTATTTACATATTTGACAAGAATGCAGAGGCTCCTTTTGCCCCTGAAAAAAATCAAATTTCAAACACAACTTGACTGGTCATTTCTCCAAAAGACAACCATGAAGCTCCATCCAAACCTGAAGCAGGCAGTTGGTGCATGTGTACAGTAACCTGAGGGGAGTGAGGTGAGTGCTTCTGAGGAGAACATGAGCAGTGAAGATTCACCTTGGAGCTAGAACAGAGACATGCACATGATTATACAGGGGCAGGGGCTCAAGTTTTTTCCAGTCGTTTATACAATATGGAAATTAATGTGAAATTAAAACACAAAGTATTAATAGAAAGGTAATGACTGTCCTGTGTAGGTGACAGTGATATCGAATAGGCTAGGCACTCACGAGGCCGGCTGTGGCAAGTGTTAGTGAAAGCAACACGCACTGGCAGGAAGAACAGCAAACGCCGATGAAGGAAAAGGGTCTTTGCAGTGATGGGCGTTACTAGAGAGGGCGATGGCCAGAGGACACAAATGGGACGGGGAGGCAGCGCGTTGGGGGGGCGACACAGCTCGGGCCCGCCAGTGCCCCAACGGGGTCCTAGTTCTTTGTTTCTTTCTTTCTTTCTTTAGGGCCCGCCGTAGCTGCTGCAGCTGCGAGAGCCCTCTTGTTCCTGTAGTCCTTCTTTGTTATTATTATTAGGGCCCGAGCGTAGCTGCTAAGCAGCTGCGAGAGCCCTCTTGTTCCTGTAGTTTCCTTCTTTTGTTATTATTATTATTTTTCCTCCCCTTTGAACTGGAAAATGGCCCACTTCCCACTGGCGAAAACTCATGAAATTTGGCAGGACGACCGGGCCTGGTGAAAAATTTGATATTCCGAAGTCGCCCAAACAAGAAAATGCAAAATGGCTCCATAGCGCCCCCTAAGGTGAAAATTCACACTATTCACTGTCACGCCGGTACGCTTTGTCAAAATGACACAAAAATTGACACACACATGTATCTCAATAAGATCTACAAAAAAGTCAGTGCGGGCGTATCTGTCAAATGTACGGTTAAAGGGTTATTTCGCATTTTTTGCCGATCCGCACACATTGGAATTTCGCTAACTCCTCCGAAGGCTTTCGTTCCACCGGCACCACATTTGCTCAGGCCAATCTACACCCCATGGCCATTAAAAGTTATTCAAATCATGACGCTGCACCCCACGGTTTAGGTTCTAGGGGGCGCCAAAGATAACCCTAAGATCCACATATTTAAAAGTCTTATAACTTTTTATTTTTGCCCTCACTGGCCTCCAAGTTTTCTAGGATGATGCAATGTCCAGCCATCAACACATTTGTGAAGGAATTTTTACTCGCCAAAAGAGCGCCCCCCCATGGCAGGAGAAAAAAGTCCATTTTTTCTTGTCTCCTAAGGCGAAAATACACATTGTTGACTGTCACGCCTTTACGCTTTGTCAAAATGACACAAAATTTGACACACACATGTATCTCAATAAGATCTACGAAAAAGTCAATGCGAGCGTATCTGTTCAATGTACGGTTAAAGGGCTATTTCGCATTTTTTGCCGATTCGCACACATTGGAATGTGGCTAACTCCTCCTAAAGCTTTTGTCCCATCGGCTTCAAATTTGGTCAGGTCAATCTACACCCCATGGCCATTCAAAGTTGTACAAATCATGACGCTGCACCCCACGGTTTACGTTCTAGGGGGCGCCAAAGATGACCCAAATATACATTACAGTAGACAAAGTAGTTTTGCCCACTGAGTGGCGCCAAAGGGACTTGTCTGTGGAGTCTGTGAGTCACTATTGGCCGTTTTTGACTACTTTAGATTTTACCTTTATATTCCCTCTTACAAAATTTTTACCTTGCCTTGCCTGGTATCATTTTTTTCAGCACAAACTCACCTGTGTGAATTTACAGTTATTTTATCATTTTGACATACTGTATTTACACAATGGACCCAAATTCACACACAAAACATAAAATCCGAGTGGAAAAAAGTAACATTTTTACTCTGAAAACCACAAATATGTGTGATGAACTGTTTTTAAAACTTAAACTTCAAATAAAAATTGTAAACTTCAAAACATATGCAAATTTTTAACAAAGAACATAGTAATTTACCCCTATTTACATCAAAATGCAGGCAATGGCCCAGGCGTTCTTTGTAAAATTATTTACAAAACACTGTATAGTCTCACAAATGTCACTTTTTATTTATGCCACTACAAAAAAACATGATGTAAATGATGCATGATGTAAAACATGATGTAAAAAACTTGTGTAGATCCTCCTCTATGTCAGTCCATGTGTAATTTTTCCATAATTCTTTGTTTTTTGCAGCATTTTTGTTAGTGTAACTGCAGATTGTGCTGACAGTGTCTATGGCAAAAAAAAAAAAAAAACTGAAAATGCCTCAACATGAACCCCTGGTGGTCTCTGAGGGTGAAACCTGCTAACTGCTGCAGCTCTGTCAGCTTCAGTCTCCCAAGCAGAGCTCGGAGCGCATGTGTGGCTCTGCACCCTTAGCAGCGTTGCCAACTCCTCAGTAAGGAAAGCCTGCTTCATGTCAGAGTCTCTAAACTCCAGAAGAAGTCGATAAAATTCCCTTTCTTTCTAAAAAAAAAGTCGTTGGGGGTCTGAAAAGTCATTGAATCTAACAACAAAGTCGCTAGGTTTGCAACTACGTGTCCCAGACTGCATCCCTGCTGAGAGTCCCTCCCTCCCTTCTCATATTGCAGGAAGAACGTAAGCGCCCGCCCCTTGTCAATCAGTCACCATATAATTTTGGATTGGTTGTTGTGGTGAAGTTTTCCACCAATAGGAGAGATGTTGTGGTGTGTTGTTTTTTTTCTTTTGGCAAGCCTTTTCCGCCTGTAAGACCTGTCGCTAATGTCTGCATGCTATGTTTTCCTGTCTCATACAGCGCGATCGAGCGCCGAACGTGATCAAAATAAGCAGAAAAAAAGTATCGCGGACATAATTTATCATAACTCTGGTTTTATTTGGCCTATCAACACAATTTAAAAACTGGTATATAGGTTGAGGTCCTCACTTTTGAGATAAGTTGAAACGGAGAGTCAACGAGGCTCCGTCTTGCAGCTACATCCGGTTAAATATGTCATGTGACTTGAACGCACACACAGACACACACACACGCACACACACACACACACACACACACACACACACACACACACACACACACACTCAGAGTCTGGTTTTTAGCACCTGCAAAAACATGCTATTTACATATTTGACAAGAATGCAGAGGCTCCTTTTGCCCCTGAAAAAAATCAAATTTCAAACACAACTTGACTGGTCATTTCTCCAAAAGACAACCATGAAGCTCCATCCAAACCTGAAGCAGGCAGTTGGTGCATGTGTACAGTAACCTGAGGGGAGTGAGGTGAGTGCTTCTGAGGAGAACATGAGCAGTGAAGATTCACCTTGGAGCTAGAACAGAGACATGCACATGATTATACAGGGGCAGGGGCTCAAGTTTTTTCCAGTCGTTTATACAATATGGAAATTAATGTGAAATTAAAACACAAAGTATTAATAGAAAGGTAATAACTGTCCTGTGAAGGTGACAGTGATATCGAATAGGCTAGGCACTCACGAGGCTGGCTGTGGCAAGTGTAAGTGAAAGCAACACGCACTGGCAGGAAGAACAGCAAACGCCGATGAAGGAAAAGGGTCTTTGCAGTGATGGGCGTTACCAGAGAGGGCGATGGCCAGAGGACACAAGTGGGACGGGGAGGCAGCACGTTGGGGGGGGGGGGGGGCGACACGGCTCGGGCCCGCCAGTGCCCCAACGGGGTCCTAGTTAGGGCCCGAGCGTAGCTGCTAAGCAGCTGCGAGAGCCCTCTTGTTCCTGTAGTTTCCTTCTTTTGTTATTATTATTATTATTTTTCCTCCCCTTTGAACTGGAAAATGGCCCACTTCCCACTGGCGAAAACTCATGAAATTTGGCAGGACGACCAGGCCTGGTGAAAAATTTGATATTCCGAAGTCGCCCAAACAAGAAAATGCAAAATGGCTCCATAGCGCCCCCTAAGGTGAAAATTCACACTATTCACTGTCACGCCGGTACGCTTTGTCAAAATGACACATAAATTGACACACACATGTATCTCAATAAGATCTACAAAAAAGTCAGTGTGGGCGTATCTGTCAAATGTACGGTTAAAGGGTTATTTCGCATTTTTTGCCGATCCGCACACATTGGAATTTCGCTAACTCCTCCGAAGGCTTTCGTTCCACCGGCACCACATTTGCTCAGGCCAATCTACACCCCATGGCCATTAAAAGTTATTCAAATCATGACGCTGCACCCCACGGTTTAGGTTCTAGGGGGCGCCAAAGATAACCCTAAGATCCACATATTTAAAAGTCTTATAACTTTTTATTTTTGCCCTCACTGGCCTCCAAGTTTTCTAGGATGATGCAATGTCCAGCCATCAACACATTTGTGAAGGAATTTTTACTCCCCAAAAGAGCGCCCCCCCATGGCAGGAGAAAAAAGTCAATTTTTTCTTGTCCCCTAAGGTGAAAATACACATTGTTGAGTGTAACACCTGTACGCTTTGGCAAAATGACACAAAAATTGACACACACATGTATCTCAATAAGATCTACGAAAAAGTCAATGCGCGCGTATCTGTCAAATGTACGGTTAAAGGGTTATTCCGCATTTTTTGCCGATCCGCACACATTGGAATGTGGCTAACTCCTCCTAAGGCTTTCGTTCCACCGGCACCACATTTGCTCAGGCCAATCTACACCCCGTGGCCATTAAAAGTTATCAAAATCATGACGCTGCACCCCAAGGTTTAGGTTCTAGGGGGCGCCAAAGATAACACTAAAATCCACATATTTAAAAGTCTTATAACTTTTTATTTTTGTCCTCACTGGCCTCCAAGTTTTCTAGGATGATGCAATGTCCAGCCATCAACACATTTGTGAAGGAATTTTTACTCCCCAAAAGAGCGCCCCCCCATGGCAGGAGAAAAAAGTCCATTTTTTCTTGTCCCCTAAGGTGAAAATACACATTGTTGAGTGTCACGCCTGTACGCTTTGTCATATTGACACAAAATTTGACAATCACGTGTGTCTCAATAACATCTACGAAAAAGTCAATGCACGCGTATCTGTCAAATGTACGGTTAAAGGGCTATTTTGCATTTTTTGCCGATTCGCACACATTGGAATGTGGCTAACTCCTCCTAAGGCTTTCATCCCACTGACACCAAATTTGCTCAGGCCAATCTACACCCCATGGCCATTAAAAGTTGTAAAAATCATGACGGTGCACCCCACGGTTTACGTTCTAGGGGGCGCCAAAGATGACCCAAATATCCACATTCTTAAAAGAATCCACATCTCCCCCCCCCCCCCCATCCCCCATCCCCCATGGCAGGAGAAACAGTCAAGTTTTTCCTGCCCATCACTCAATGGCTCAATCGCATCGCTCTCCCGGCAACACCGTAACGAGGAGCAACTTGCCGTTTGGATATATCCTAGCTGTGTTTGTGCCCTCACTCATGGTCCAGACTTTTTTCAAATAGGATATGTAGTTTGTCTGCAGCGAGTGTTTTGGTAGAAACTGCGCCTCCCATTCATTATAATGGGAAATGACCACAGACAAGTGCGCACACCATCTTTGGACCTTGAGTGTGACGCGATCGGGAGGGGGAGGTGGTCGCGCTGGGGGCGGCGCGACGCGGCTCGGGCCCGACAGTGCCCCACCGGGGCCCTAGTTCTTCTTTTTCCTCCCCTTTGAACTGGAAAATGGCCCACTTCCCACTGGCGAAAACTCATGAAATTTGGCAGGACGACCGGGCCTGGTGAAAAATTCGATATTCTGAAGTCGCCCAAACAATAAAATGCAAAATGGCTCCATAGCGCCCCCTAAGGTGGAAATTCACACTATTGACTGTCACGCCTGTACGCTTTGTCATATTGACACAAAAATTGACACACATATGTATCTCAATAAGATCTACAAAAAAGTCAGTGCGGCCGTATCTGTCAAATGTATGGTCAAAGGGTTATTTCGCATTTTTTTCCGATCCGCACACATTGGAATTTCGCTAACTCCTCCGAAGGCTTTCTTTCCACCGGCACCACATTTGCTCAGGCCAATCTACACCCCGTGGCCATTAAAAGTTATCAAAATCATGACGCTGCACCCCAAGGTTTAGGTTCTAGGGGGCGCCAAAGATAACACCAAAATCCACATATTTAAAAGTCTTATAACTTTTTATTTTTGTCCTCACTGGCCTCCAAGTTTTCTAGGATGATGCAATGTCCAGCCATCAACACATTTGTGAAGGAATTTTTACTCCCCAAAAGAGCGCCCCCCCATGGCAGGAGAAAAAAGTCAATTTTTTCTTGTCCCCTAAGGTGAAAATACACATTGTTGAGTGTCACGCCTATACGCTTTGTCAAAATGACACAAAAATTGACACACACATGTAACTCAATAAGATCTACGAAAAAGTCAATGCGCGCGTATCTGTCAAATGTACGGTTAAAGGGTTATTCCGCATTTTTTGCCGATCCGCACACATTGGAATGTGGCTAACTCCTCCTAAGGCTTTCGTTCCACCGGCACCACATTTGCTCAGGCCAATCTACACCCCATGGCCATTAAAATTTATCAAAATCATGACGCTGCACCCCACGGTTTAGGTTCTAGGGGGCGCCAAAGATAACCCTAAAATCCACATATTTAAAAGTCTTATAACTTTTTATTTTTGTCCTCACTGGCCTCCAAGTTTTCTAGGATGATGCAATGTCCAGCCATCAACACATTTGTGAAGGAATTTTAACTCCCCAAAAGAGCGCCCCCCCATGGCAGGAGAAAAAAGTCCATTTTTTCTTGTCCCTTAAGGTGAAAATACATATTGTTGAGATTCACGCCTATACGCTTTGTCATATTGACACAAAATTTGACAATCACGTGCCTTGCCTGGTATCATTTTTTTCAGCACAACCTCACCTGTGCGAATTTACAGTTATTTTATCATGTTGACATACTGAATTTACACAATGGACCCAAATTCACACACAAAACATAAAATCCGAGTGGAAAAAAGTAACATTTTTACTGTGAAAACCACAAATATGTGTGATGAACTGTTTTCAAAACTTAAACTTCAAATAAAAATTGTAAACTTCAAAACATATGCAAATTTTTAACAAAGAACATAGTGATTTACCTCTATTTACATCAAAATGCAGGCAATGGCCCAGGCGTTCTTTGTAAAATTATTTACAAAACACTGTATAGTCTCACAAATGTCACTTTTTATTTATGCCACTACAAAAAAACATGATGTAAATGATGCATGATGTAAAACATGATGTAAAAAACTTGTGTAGATCCTCCTCTATGTCAGTCCATGTGTAATTTTTCCATAATTCTTTGTTTTTTGCAGCATTTTTGTTAGTGTAACTGCAGATTGTGCTGACAGTGTCTATGGCACAAAAAAAAGAAAAAATTAAAATGCCTCAACATGAACCCCTGGTGGTCTCTGAGGGTGAAACCTGCTAACTGCTGCAGCTCTGTCAGCTTCAGTCTCCCATGCAGAGCTCTGAGCGCATGTGTGGCTCTGCACCCTTAGCAGCGTTGCTAACTCCTCAGTAAGGAAAGCCTGCTTCATGTCAGAGTCTCTAAACTCCAGAAGAAGTCGATAAAAGTCACTTTCTTTCTAAAAAAAAGTCGTTAGGGGGTCTGAAAAGTCATTGAATCTAACAACAAAGTCGCTAGGTTTGCAACTACGTGTCCCAGACTGCATCCCTGCTGAGAGTCCCTCCCTCCCTTCTCATGTTGCAGGAAGAACGTAAGCGCCCGCCCCTTGTCAATCAGTCACCATATAATTTTGGATTGGTTGTTGTGGTGAAGTTTTCCACCAATAGGAGAGATGTTGTGGTGTGTTTTTTTTTTCTTTTGGCAAGCCTTTTCCGCCTGTAAGACCTGTCGCTAATGTCTGCATGCTATGTTTTCCTGTCTCATACAGCGCGATCGAGCGCCGAACGTGATCAAAATAAGCAGAAAAAAAGTATCGCGGACATAATTTATCATAACTCTGGTTTTATTTGGCCTATCAACACAATTTAAAAACTGGTATATAGGTTGAGGTCCTCACTTTTGAAATAAGTTGAAACGGAGAGTCAACGAGGCTCCGTCTTGCAGCTACATCCGGTTAAATATGTCATGTGACTTGAACGCACACACAGACACACACACACGCACACACACACACACACACACACACACACACACACACACACACAGAGTCTGGTTTTTAGCACCTGCAAAAACATGCTATATACATATTTGACAAGAATGCAGAGGCTCCTTTTGCCCCTGAAAAAAATCAAATTTCAAACACAACTTGACTGGTCATTTCTCCAAAAGACAACCATGAAGCTCCATCCAAACCTGAAGCAGGCAGTTGGTGCATGTGTACAGTAACCTGAGGGGAGTGAGGTGAGTGCTTCTGAGGAGAACATGAGCAGTGAAGATTCACCTTGGAGCTAGAACAGAGACATGCACATGATTATACAGGGGCAGGGGCTCAAGTTTTTTCCAGTCGTTTATACAATATGGAAATTAATGTGAAATTAAAACACAAAGTATTAATAGAAAGGTAATGACTGTCCTGTGTAGGTGACAGTGATATCCAATAGGCTAGGCACTCACGAGGCTGGCTGTGGCAAGTGTAAGTGAAAGCAACACGCACTGGCAAGAAGAACAGCAAACGCCGATGAAGGAAAAGGGTCTTTGCAGTGATGGGCGTTACCAGAGAGGGCGATGGCCAGAGGACACAAATGGGACGGGGAGGCAGCACGTTGGGGGGGGACGCGACATGGCTCGGGCCCGCCAGTGCCCCAACGGGGTCCTAGTTAGGGCCCGAGCGTAGCTGCTAAGCAGCTGCGAGGCCCTATTATTCCTGTAGTGGTTTTTCTTTGTTTCTTTTTTCTTTTTCCTCCCCTTTGAACTGGAAAATGGCCCACTTCCCACTGGCGAAAACTCATGAAATTTGGCAGGATGACCGGGCCTGGTGAAAAATTTGATATTCCGAAGTCGCCCAAACAATAAAATGCAAAATGGCTCCATAGCGCCCCCTAAGGTGAAAATTCACACTATTGACTGTCACGCCTTTACGCTTTGTCAAAATGACACAAAAATTGACACACACATGTATCTCAATAAGATCTACAAAAAAGTCAGTGCGGGCGTATCTGTCAAATGTACGGTTAAAGGGTTATTGCGCATTTTTTGCCGATCCGCACACATTGGAATTTCGCTAACTCCTCCGAAGGCTTTTGTTCCACCGGCACCACATTTGCTCAGGCCAATCTACACCCCATGGCCATTAAAAGTTATTCAAATCATGACGCTGCACCCCACGGTTTAGGTTCTAGGGGGCGCCAAAGATAACCCTAAAATCCACATATTTAAAAGTCTTATAACTTTTTATTTTTGCCCTCACTGGCCTCCAAGTTTTCTAGGATGATGCAATGTCCAGCCATCAACACATTTGTGAAGGAATTTTTACTCCCCAAAAGAGCGCCCCCCCATGGCAGGAGAAAAAAGTCCATTTTTTCTTGTCCCATAAGGTGAAAATTCACACTATTGACTGTCACGCCTGTACGCTTTGTCAAAATTACACAAAAATTGACACACACATGTATCTCAATAAGATCTACAAAAAAGTCAGTGCGGGCGTATCTGTCAAATGTACGGTTAAAGGGTTATTTCGCATTTTTTGCCGATCCGCACACATTGGAATTTCGCTAACTCCTCCGAAGGCTTTCGTTCCACCGGCACCACATTTGCTCAGGCCAATCTACACCCCATGGCCATTAAAAGTTATTCAAATCATGACGCTGCACCCCACGGTTTAGGTTCTAGGGGGCGCCAAAGATAACCCTAAAATCCACATATTTCAAAGTCTTATAACTTTTTATTTTTGCCCTCACTGGCCTCCAAGTTTTCTAGGATGATGCAATGTCCAGCCATCAACACATTTGTGAAGGAATTTTTACTCCCCAAAAGAGCGCCCCCCATGGCAGGAGAAAAAAGTCCATTTTTTCTTGTCCCCTAAGGTGAAAATACACATTGTTGAGTGTCACGCCTGTACGCTTTGTCAAAATGACACAAAAATTGACACACACATGTATCTCAATAAGATCTACAAAAAAGTCCATGCGCGCGTATCTGTCAAATGTACGGTTAAAGGGTTATTCCGCATTTTTTGCCGATTCGCACACATTGGAATTTCGCTAACTCCTCCGAAGGCTTTTGTTCCACCGGCACCACATTTGCTCAGGCCAATCTACACCCCATGGCCATTAAAAGTTATTCAAATCATGACGCTGCACCCCACGGTTTACGTTCTAGGGGGCGCCAAAGATAACCCAAAAATCCACATTTTTAAAAGTCTTATAACATTTTATTTTTGTCCTCACTGGCCTCCAAGTTTTCTAGGATGATGCAATGTCCAGCCATCAACACATTTGTGAAGGAATTTTTACTCCCTAAAAGAGCGCCCCCCCATGGCAGGAGAAAAAAGTCCATTTTTTCTTGTCCCCTAAGGTGAAAATACACATTGTTGACTGTCACGCCTGTACGCTTTGGCAAAATGACACAAAAATTGACAATCATGTGTATCTCAATTAGATCTACGAAAAAGTCAAAGAGCGCGTATCTGTATAATGTACGGTAAAAGGGCTATTTTGCATTTTTTGCCGATTCGCACACATTGGAATTTCGCTAACTCCTCCTAAGGCTTTCGTCCCACTGACACCAAATTTGCTCAGGCCAATCTACACTCCATGGCCATTCAAAGTTGTAAAAATCATGACGCTGCACCCCACGGTTTACGTTTTAGGGGGTGCCAAAGATGACCCAAATATACATTACAGTAGACAAAGTAGTTTTGCCCACTGAGTGGCGCCAAAGGGACTTGTCTGTGGAGTCTGTGAGTCACTATTGGCCGTTTTTGACTACTTTAGATTTTACCTTTATATTTCCTCTTACAAAAGTTTTACCTTGCCTTGCCTGGTATCATTTTTTTCAGCACAACCTCACCTGTGTCAATTTACAGTTATTTTATCATTTTGACATACTATATTTACACATTGGACCCAAATTCACACACAAAACATAAAATCCGAGTGGAAAAAAGTAACATTTTTACTGTGAAAACCACAAATATGTGTGATGAACTGTTTTTAAAACTTAAACTTCAAATAAAAATTGTAAACTTCAAAACATATGCAAATTTTTAACAAAGAACATAGTAATTTACCTCTATTTACATCAAAATGCAGGCAATGGCCCAGGTGTTCTTTGTAAAATTATTTACAAAACACTGTATAGTCTCACAAATGTCACTTTTTATTTATGCCACTACAAAAAAACATGATGTAAATGATGCATGATGTAAAACATGATGTAAAAAACTTGTGTATATCCTCCTCTATGTTAGTCCATGTGTAATTTTTCCATAATTCTTTGTTTTGTCCAGCATTTTTGTTAGTGTAACTGCAGATTGTGCTGACAGTGTCTATGGCAAAAAAAAAAAAAAAACTGAAAATGCCTCAACATGAACCCCTGGTGGTCTCTGAGGGTGAAACCTGCTAACTGCTGCAGCTCTGTCAGCTTCAGTCTCCCATGCAGAGCTCGGAGCGCATGTGTGGCTCTGCACCCTTAGCAGCGTTGCTAACTCCTCAGTAAGGAAAGCCTGCTTCATGTCAGAGTCTCTAAACTCCAGAAGAAGTCGATAAAAGTCACTTTCTTTCTAAAAAAAAAGTCGTTAGGGGGTCTGAAAAGTCATTGAATCTAACAACAAAGTCGCTAGGTTTGCAACTACGTGTCCCAGACTGCATCCCTGCTGAGAGTCCCTCCCTCCCTTCTCATATTGCAGGAAGAACGTAAGCGCCCGCCCCTTGTCAATCAGTCACCATATAATTTTGGATTGGTTGTTGTGGTGAAGTTTTCCACCAATAGGAGAGATGTTGTGGTGTGTATTTTTTTTCCTTTGGCAAGCCTTTTCCGCCTGTAAGACCTGTCGGTAATGTCTGCATGCTATGTTTTCCTGTCTCATACAGCGCGATCGAGCGCCGAACGTGATAAAAATAAGCAGAAAACAAGTATCGCGGACATAATTTATCATAACTCTGGTTTTATTTGGCCTATCAACACAATTTAAAAACTGGTATATAGGTTGAGGTCCTCACTTTTGAGATAAGTTGAAACGGAGTCAACGAGGCTCCGTCTTGCAGCTACATCCGGTTAAATATGTCATGTGACTTGAACGCACACACACACACACACACACACACACACACACACACACACACACACACACACACACACTCAGAGTCTGGTTTTTAGCACCTGCAAAAACATGCTATTTACATATTTGACAAGAATGCAGAGGCTCCTTTTGCCCCTGAAAAAAATCAAATTTCAAACACAACTTGACTGCTCATTTCTCCAAAAGACAACCATGAAGCTCCATCCAAACCTGAAGCAGGCAGTTGGTGCATGTGTACAGTAACCTGAGGGGAGTGAGGTGAGTGCTTCTGAGGAGAACATGAGCAGTGAAGATTCACCTTGGAGCTAGAACAGAGACATGCACATGATTATACAGGGGCAGGGGCTCAAGTTTTTTCCAGTCGTTTATACAATATGGAAATTAATGTGAAATTAAAACACAAAGTATTAATAGAAAGGTAATGACTGTCCTGTGTAGGTGACAGTGATATCGAATAGGCTAGGCACTCACGAGGCTGGCTGTGGCAAGTGTAAGTGAAAGCAACACGCACTGGCAGGAAGAACAGCAAACGCCGATGAAGGAAAAGGGTCTTTGCAGTGATGGGCGTTACCAGAGAGGGCGATGGCCAGAGGACACAAATGGGACGGGGAGGCAGCGCGTTGGGGGGGGGACGCGACACAGCTCGGGCCCGCCAGTGCCCCAACGGGGTCCTAGTTCTTTCTTTCTTTCTTTCTTCTTTTTCCTCCCCTTTGAACTGGAAAATGGCCCACTTCCCACTGGCGAAAACTCATGAAATTTGGCAGGACGACCGGGCCTGGTGAAAAATTCGATATTCTGAAGTCGCCCAAACAATAAAATGCAAAATGGCTCCATAGCGCCCCCTAAGGTGGAAATTCACACTATTGACTGTCACGCCTGTACGCTTTGTCATATTGACACAAAAATTGACACACATATGTATCTCAATAAGATCTACAAAAAAGTCAGTGCGACCGTATCTGTCAAAATTACGGTTAAAGGGTTATTTCGCATTTTGTGCCGATCCGCACACATTGGAATTTCGCTAACTCCTCCGAAGGCTTTCGTTCCACCGGCACCACATTTGCTCAGGCCAATCTACACCCCGTGGCCATTAAAAGTTATCAAAATCATGACGCTGCACCCCACGGTTTAGGTTCTAGGGGGCGCCAAAGATAACACTAAAATCCACATATTTAAAAGTCTTATAACTTTTTATTTTTGTCCTCACTGGCCTCCAAGTTTTCTAGGATGATGCAATGTCCAGCCATCAACACATTTGTGAAGGAATTTTTACTCCCCAAAAGAGCGCCCCCCATGGCAGGAGAAAAAAGTCCATTTTTTCTTGTCCCCTAAGGTGAAAATACACATTGTTGAGTGTCACGCCTATACGCTTTGTCAAAATGACACAAAAATTGACACACACATGTATCTCAATAAGATCTACGAAAAAGTCAATGCGCGCGTATCTGTCAAATGTACGGTTAAAGGGTTATTCCGCATTTTTTGCCGATCCGCACACATTGGAATGTGGCTAACTCCTCCTAAGGCTTTCGTTCCACCGGCACCACATTTGCTCAGGCCAATCTACACCCCATGGCCATTAAAAGTTATTCAAATCATGACGCTGCACCCCACGGTTAAGGTTCTAGGGGGCGCCAAAGACAACCCTAAAATCCACATATTTAAAAGTCTTATAACTTTTTATTTTTGTCCTCACTGGCCTCCAAGTTTTCTAGGATGATGCAATGTCCAGCCATCAACACATTTGTGAAGGAATTTTTACTCCCCAAAAGAGCGCCCCCCCATGGCAGGAGAAAAAAGTCCATTTTTTCTTGTCCCCTAAGGTGAAAATACATATTGTTGAGATTCACGCCTATACGCTTTGTCATAATGACACAAAATTTGACAATCACATGTATCTCAATAAGATCTACGAAAAAGTCAATGCGCGCGTATCTGTCAAATGTACGGTTAAAGGGTTATTCCGCATTTTTTGCCGATCCGCACACATTGGAATGTGGCTAACTCCTCCTAAGGCTTTCGTTCCACCGGCACCACATTTGCTCAGGCCAATCTACACCCCATGGCCATTAAAAGTTATTCAAATCATGACGCTGCACCCCACGGTTAAGGTTCTAGGGGGCGCCAAAGACAACCCTAAAATCCACATATTTAAAAGTCTTATAACTTTTTATTTTTGTCCTCACTGGCCTCCAAGTTTTCTAGGATGATGCAATGTCCAGCCATCAACACATTTGTGAAGGAATTTTTACTCCCCAAAAGAGCGCCCCCCCATGGCAGGAGAAAAAAGTCCATTTTTTCTTGTCCCCTAAGGTGAAAATACATATTGTTGAGATTCACGCCTATACGCTTTGTCATAATGACACAAAATTTGACAATCACATGCCTTGCCTGGTATCATTTTTTTTCAGCACAACCTCACCTGTGCGAATTTACAGTTATTTTATCATGTTGACATACTGAATTTACACAATGGACCCAAATTCACACACAAAACATAAAATCCGAGTGGAAAAAAGTAACATTTTTACTGTGAAAACCACAAATATGTGTGATGAACTGTTTTTAAAACTTAAACTTCAAATAAAAATTGTAAACTTCAAAACATATGCAAATTTTTAATAAAGAACATAGTGATTTACCTCTATTTACATCAAAATGCAGGCAATGGCCCAGGCGTTCTTTGTAAAATTATTTACAAAACACTGTATAGTCTCACAAATGTCACTTTTTATTTATGCCACTACAAAAAAACATGATGTAAATGATGCATGATGTAAAACATGATGTAAAAAACTTGTGTAGATCCTCCTCTATGTCAGTCCATGTGTAATTTTTCCATAATTCTTTGTTTTTTGCAGCATTTTTGTTAGTGTAACTGCAGATTGTGCTGACAGTGTCTATGGCACACAAAAAAAAAAATTAAAATGCCTCAACATGAACCCCTGGTGGTCTCTGAGGGTGAAACCTGCTAACTGCTGCAGCTCTGTCAGCTTCAGTCTCCCATGCAGAGCTCTGAGCGCATGTGTGGCTCTGCACCCTTAGCAGCGTTGCTAACTCCTCAGTAAGGAAAGCCTGCTTCATGTCAGAGTCTCTAAACTCCAGAAGAAGTCGATAAAAGTCCCTTTCTTTCTAAAAAAAAGTCGTTAGGGGGTCTGAAAAGTCATTGAATCTAACAACAAAGTCGCTAGGTTTGCAACTACGTGTCCCAGACTGCATCCCTGCTGAGAGTCCCTCCCTCGCTTCTCATGTTGCAGGAAGAACGTAAGCACCCGCCCCTTGTCAATCAGTCACCATATAATTTTGGATTGGTTGTTGTGGTGAAGTTTTCCACCAATAGGAGAGATGTTGTGGTGTGTTTTTTTTTTTCTTTTGGCAAGCCTTTTCCGCCTGTAAGACCTGTCGCTAATGTCTGCATGCTATGTTTTCCTGTCTCATACAGCGCGATCGAGCGCCGAACGTGATCAAAATAAGCAGAAAACAAGTATCGCGGACATAATTTATCATAACTCTGGTTTTATTTGGCCTATCAACACAATTTAAAAACTGGTATATAGGTTGAGGTCCTCACTTTTGAGATAAGTTGAAACGGAGAGTCAACGAGGCTCCGTCTTGCAGCTACATCCGGTTAAATATGTCATGTGACTTGAACGCACACACAGACACACACACACGCACACACACACACACACAGACACACACACACACTCAGAGTCTGGTTTTTAGCACCTGCAAAAACATGCTATTTACATATTTGACAAGAATGCAGAGGCTCCTTTTGCCCCTGAAAAAAATCAAATTTCAAACACAACTTGACTGGTCATTTCTCCAAAAGACAACCATGAAGCTCCATCCAAACCTGAAGCAGGCAGTTGGTGCATGTGTACAGTAACCTGAGGGGAGTGAGGTGAGTGCTTCTGAGGAGAACATGAGCAGTGAAGATTCACCTTGGAGCTAGAACAGAGACATGCACATGATTATACAGGGGCAGGGGCTCAAGTTTTTTCCAGTCGTTTATACAATATGGAAATTAATGTGAAATTAAAACACAAAGTATTAATAGAAAGGTAATGACTGTCCTGTGTAGGTGACAGTGATATCCAATAGGCTAGGCACTCACGAGGCTGGCTGTGGCAAGTGTAAGTGAAAGCAACACGCACTGGCAAGAAGAACAGCAAACGCCGATGAAGGAAAAGGGTCTTTGCAGTGATGGGCGTTACCAGAGAGGGCGATGGCCAGAGGACACAAATGGGACGGGGAGGCAGCACGTTGGGGGGGGGACGCGACATGGCTCGGGCCCGCCAGTGCCCCAACGGGGTCCTAGTTAGGGCCCGAGCGTAGCTGCTAAGCAGCTGCGAGGCCCTATTATTCCTGTAGTGGTTTTTCTTTGTTTCTTTTTTCTTTTTCCTCCCCTTTGAACTGGAAAATGGCCCACTTCCCACTGGCGAAAACTCATGAAATTTGGCAGGATGACCGGGCCTGGTGAAAAATTTGATATTCCGAAGTCGCCCAAACAATAAAATGCAAAATGGCTCCATAGCGCCCCCTAAGGTGAAAATTCACACTATTGACTGTCACGCCTTTACGCTTTGTCAAAATGACACAAAAATTGACACACACATGTATCTCAATAAGATCTACAAAAAAGTCAGTGCGGGCGTATCTGTCAAATGTACGGTTAAAGGGTTATTGCGCATTTTTTGCCGATCCGCACACATTGGAATTTCGCTAACTCCTCCGAAGGCTTTTGTTCCACCGGCACCACATTTGCTCAGGCCAATCTACACCCCATGGCCATTAAAAGTTATTCAAATCATGACGCTGCACCCCACGGTTTAGGTTCTAGGGGGCGCCAAAGATAACCCTAAAATCCACATATTTAAAAGTCTTATAACTTTTTATTTTTGCCCTCACTGGCCTCCAAGTTTTCTAGGATGATGCAATGTCCAGCCATCAACACATTTGTGAAGGAATTTTTACTCCCCAAAAGAGCGCCCCCCCATGGCAGGAGAAAAAAGTCCATTTTTTCTTGTCCCATAAGGTGAAAATTCACACTATTGACTGTCACGCCTGTACGCTTTGTCAAAATTACACAAAAATTGACACGCACATGTATCTCAATAAGATCTACAAAAAAGTCAGTGCGGGCGTATCTGTCAAATGTACGGTTAAAGGGTTATTGCGCATTTTTTGCCGATCCGCACACATTGGAATTTCGCTAACTCCTCTAAAGGCTTTCGTTCCACCGGCACCACATTTGCTCAGGCCAATCTACACCCAATGGCCATTAAAAGTTATTCAAATCATGACGCTGCACCCCACGGTTTAGGTTCTAGGGGGCGCCAAAGATAACCCTAAAATCCACATATTTCAAAGTCTTATAACTTTTTATTTTTGCCCTCACTGGCCTCCAAGTTTTCTAGGATGATGCAATGTCCAGCCATCAACACATTTGTGAAGGAATTTTTACTCCCCAAAAGAGCGCCCCCCCATGGCAGGAGAAAAAAGTCCATTTTTTCTTGTCCCATAAGGTGAAAATACACATTGTTTAGTGTCACGCCTGTACGCTTTGGCAAAATGACACAAAAATTGACACACACATGTATCTCAATAAGATCTACGAAAAAGTCAATGCGCGCGTATCTGTCAAATGTACGGTTAGAGGGTTATTTCGCATTTTTTGCCGATCCGCACACATTGGAATGTGGCTAACTCCTCCTAAGGCTTTCGTCCCACTGACACCAAATTTGCTCAGGCCAATCTACACCCCATGGCCATTCAAAGTTTTAAAAATCATGACGCTGCACCCCACGGTTTACGTTCTAGGGGGCGCCAAAGATGACCCAAATATCCACATTCTTAAAAGAATCGACATTCCCCCCCCCCCCCATCCCCCAACCATCCCCCATCCCCCATCCCCCATGGCAGGAGAAACAGTCAAGTTTTTCCTGCCCATCACTCAATGGCTCAATCGCATCGCTCTCCCGGCAACACCGTAACGAGGAGCAACTTGCCGTTTGGATATATCCTAGCTGTGTTTGTGCCCTCACTCATGGTCCAGACTTTTTTCAAATAGGACATGTAGTTTGTCTGCAGCGAGTGTTTTGGTAGAAACTGCGCCTCCCATTCATTATAATGGGAAATGACCACAAACAAGTGCGCACACCATCTTTGGACCTTGAGTGTGACGCGATCGGAAGGGGGAGGTGGTCGCACTGGGGGCGGCGCGACGCGGCTCGGGCCCGACAGTGCCCCACCGGGGCCCTAGTTCTTCTTTTTCCTCCCCTTTGAACTGGAAAATGGCCCACTTCCCACTGGCGAAAACTCATGAAATTTGGCAGGACGACCGGGCCTGGTGAAAAATTTGATATTCTGAAGTCGCCCAAACAATACAATGCAAAATGGCTCCATAGTTCCCCCTAAGGTGAAAAATTCACCTGACGCCTGTACGCTTTGTCAAAATGACAGAAAAATTGACACACACATGTATTTCAATAAGATCTACAAAAAAGTCAGTGCGGTCGTATCTGTCAAATGTACGGTTAAAGGGTTATTTCGCATTTTTTGCCGATCCGCACACATTGGAATATCGCTAACTCCTCCGAAGGCTTTCGTTCCACCGGCACCACATTTGCTCAGGCCAATCTACACCCCATGGCCATTAAAAGTTATTCAAATCATGACGCTGCACCCCACGGTTTAGGTTCTAGGGGGCGCCAAAGATAACCCTAAAATCCACATATTTAAAAGTCTTATAACTTTTTATTTTTGCCCTCACTGGCCTCCAAGTTTTCTAGGATGATGCAATGTCCAGCCATCAACACATTTGTGAAGGAATTTTTACTCCCCAAAAGAGCGCCCCCCCATGGCAGGAGAAAAAAGTCCATTTTTTCTTGTCCCCTAAGGTGAAAATACACATTGTTGAGTTTCACGCCTGTACGCTTTGTCAAAATGACACAAAAATTGACACACACATGTATCTCAATAAGATCTACAAAAAAGTCCATGAGCGCGTATCTGTCAAATGTACGGTTAAAGGGTTATTCCGCATTTTTTGCCGATTCGCACACATTGGAATTTCGCTAACTCCTCCGAAGGCTTTCGTTCCACCGGCACCACATTTGCTCAGGCCAAATTACACCCCATGGCCATTAAAAGTTATTCAAATCATGACGCTGCACCCCACGGTTTACGTTCTAGGGGGCGCCAAAGATAACCCAAAAATCCACATTTTTAAAAGTCTTATAACTTTTTATTTTTGTCCTCACTGGCCTCCAAGTTTTCTAGGATGATGCAATGTCCAGCCATCAACACATTTGTGAAGGAATTTTTACTCCCTAAAAGAGCGCCCCCCCATGGCAGGAGAAAAAAGTCAATTTTTTCTTGTCCCCTAAGGTGAAAATACACATTGTTGACTGTCACGCCTGTACGCTTTGGCAAAATGACACAAAAATTGACAATCATGTGTATCTCAGTTAGATCTACGAAAAAGTCAAAGAGCGCGTATCTGTATAATGTACGGTAAAAGGGCTATTTTGCATTTTTTGCCGATTCGCACACATTGGAATTTCGCTAACTCCTCCTAAGGCTTTCGTCCCACTGACACCAAATTTGCTCAGGCCAATCTACACTCCATGGCCATTCAAAGTTGTAAAAATCATGACGCTGCACCCCACGGTTTACGTTTTAGGGTGCGCCAAAGATGACCCAAATATACATTACAGTAGACAAAGTAGTTTTGCCCACTGAGTGGCGCCAAAGGGACTTGTCTGTGGAGTCTGTGAGTCACTATTGGCCGTTTTTGACTACTTTAGATTTTACCTTTATATTTCCTCTTACAAAATTTTTACCTTGCCTTGCCTGGTATCATTTTTTTCAGCACAACCTCACCTGTGTCAATTTACAGTTATTTTATCATTTTGACATACTATATTTACACATTGGACCCAAATTCACACAAAAAACATAAAATCCGAGTGGAAAAAAGTAACGTTTTTACTGTGAAAACCACAAATATGTGTGATGAACTGTTTTTAAAACTTTAACTTCAAATAAAAATTGTAAACTTCAAAACATATGCAAATTTTTAACAAAGAACATAGTAATTTACCTCTATTTACATCAAAATGCAGGCAATGGCCCAGGCGTTCTTTGTAAAATTATTTACAAAACACTGTATAGTCTCACAAATGTCACTTTTTATTTATGCCACTACAAAAAAACATGATGTAAATGATGCATGATGTAAAACATGATGTAAAAAACTTGTGTAGATCCTCCTCTATGTTAGTCCATGTGTAATTTTTCCATAATTCTTTGTTTTTTGCAGCATTTTTGTTAGTGTAACTGCAGATTGTGCTGACAGTGTCTATGGCAAAAAAAAAAAAAAAAACTGAAAATGCCTCAACATGAACCCCTGGTGGTCTCTGAGGGTGAAACCTGCTAACTGCTGCAGCTCTGTCAGCTTCAGTCTCCCATGCAGAGCTCGGAGCGCATGTGTGGCTCTGCACCCTTAGCAGCGTTGCTAACTCCTCAGTAAGGAAAGCCTGCTTCATGTCAGAGTCTCTAAACTCCAGAAGAAGTCGATAAAAGTCCCTTTCTTTCTAAAAAAAAGTCGTTAGGGGGTCTGAAAAGTCATTGAATCTAACAACAAAGTCGCTAGGTTTGCAACTACGTGTCCCAGACTGCATCCCTGCTGAGAGTCCCTCCCTCCCTTCTCATATTGCAGGAAGAACGTAAGCGCCCGCCCCTTGTCAATCAGTCACCATATAATTTTGGATTGGTTGTTGTGGTGAAGTTTTCCACCAATAGGAGAGATGTTGTGGTGTGTTTTTTTTTTCTTTTGGCAAGCCTTTTCCGCCTGTAAGACCTGTCGCTAATGTCTGCATGCTATGTTTTCCTGTCTCATACAGCGCGATCGAGCGCCGAACGTGATCAAAATAAGCAGAAAACAAGTATCGCGGACATAATTTATCATAACTCTGGTTTTATTTGGCCTATCAACACAATTTAAAAACTGGTATATAGGTTGAGGTCCTCACTTTTGAGATAAGTTGAAACGGAGAGTCAACGAGGCTCCGTCTTGCAGCTACATCCGGTTAAATATGTCATGTGACTTGAACGCACACACACACACACACACACACACACAGACACACACACACACGCACACACACACACTCAGAGTCTGGTTTTTAGCACCTGCAAAAACATGCTATTTACATATTTGACAAGAATGCAGAGGCTCCTTTTGCCCCTGAAAAAAATCAAATTTCAAACACAACTTGACTGGTCATTTCTCCAAAAGACAACCATGAAGCTCCATCCAAACCTGAAGCAGGCAGTTGGTGCATGTGTACAGTAACCTGAGGGGAGTGAGGTGACTGCTTCTGAGGAGAACATGAGCAGTGAAGATTCACTTTAGAGCTAGAACAGAGACGTGCACATGATTATACAGGGGCAGGGGCTCAAGTTTTTTCCAGTTGTTTATACAATATGGAAATTAATGTGAAATTAAAAAACAAAGTATTAATAGAAAGGTAATGACTGTCCTGTGTAGGTGACAGTGATATCCAATAGGCTAGGCACTCACGAGGCTGGCTGTGGCAAGTGTAAGTGAAAGCAACACGCACTGGCAGGAAGAACAGCAAACGCCGATGAAGGAAAAGGGTCTTTGCAGTGATGGGCGTTACCAGAGAGGGCGATGGCCAGAGGACACAAATGGGACGGGGAGGCAGCGCGTTGGGGGGGGGACGCGACACAGCTCGGGCCCGCCAGTGCCCCAACGGCGTCCTAGTTTTTAGTTTTTCCTTTGTTTTGTGTTTTCCTCAAGTGTATTTCCTTTGTGATTTTCCCTAGTGTTTCTGTTCCCTATTGTTCCTATTCCCCTGTAGTCCTGTCTTTTAAATTTTCAGTTTGTGTCTGACCCCTTTTCCCTCCTGTTCTCAGTGTTTTATTCTTTAGATCA